CGTAAAAATAATTTGGGAAAAATCGGGTTAGGTTTCCATTCATGAATCATGGTACCGGGTGATTCATTAGAACTGATGACAGTTTAAATTTCCCTCAAAACAATAAATTTTAAAGGTTGGTAATAATAGAATATCATTTGTCTAATTCCAGTGGTGTATGTAGAATCACTCTCCAAGGGTAATAATTTATTTTTAATTTACAAATAAGTCTTCCATTTTACAACAAATTTTATATTTGCACTAAGCACAGTCACGATATTAAAATTGTATTAATTAAACTATAAAAATTGCTCAAAATGTCCACCATTGTGTTCACGGCACAATTCCACTCTACGCTTCATATTGTCAAACACTTTCTCCAGAGTTTCAGGTGAAATTCTTTCAAGTTCCTCAATAATTGCTGCTCGTAGTTCATCAAGAGTATGGAGACGGTTTCGAAAAACGTTGTTTTTTAATGTGGGAAACAAGAAAAAATCTAACGGAGTTAGATCAGGCGAACGAGGAGGCCATAATCCTTTGCTAATTAAACGATTGTCATAAAATTGTTCCAAGTACTGGAGTGTAGCCCGTGCAGTATGTGCTGTAGCTCCATCCTGTTGAAAATATCCTTCCCTTATTTCGTCGTCGTGAAGTTGATTTAAAAAGGTATCCAATATTTGTGTGCGATATCTTTCTGCCGTAATAGTATCATTAAAAAAAAGGGGACCTATGATACGTCTTCTAGACATTCCAATCCATATTCCAACTTTTAAAGGATGTAAACTAGTCTCTTCAAAATTATAAGGATTTTCGGTTGCCCACGTTCGGTAATTTTGGCTATTAATATATCCAGATAGATGAAACCATGCTTCATCAGTCATAAAAGTTACATTTAAAACGTCGTTGTTATTCAAATTGTTAGTAAACCAATCACAATAATTCCGTCGATTCTCATAATCAAGAGCGTGGAGTTGTTGCAGAACAGAAAATAAATTTAAAAGCAACTCCAGTTCTTTCCCACTTGTAAATGGTGAAACTATCCGAAATCTCTTACATCAAGTACATGAAGTGATACTACTTAATTAGCCTGCCTGCTTCAGTACAAAATGTATCTATAAGGCCCTGTATAAGGTAGCCGAGTAGCTCGTTGTCGTTCTAGTTCGAGATGAATACCGTTTGCTGCTAAAGGCCGCTTGACATGGAGCAATACAACGCGCAAGAACTTGCAGAAAGAAATTGCAAGGTCAAATCCTTGCATGCAATAGCATTGCATGGTATTTGACATGGTGCAATTCTATTTCAATTGCCACATGTCTGCCAACAGAAGAAACATATGGATTTGTCAACAAAGTAGTTAACCTCAAATGAAAATTAAATTTTGATTGCTTGAAGAAACATGAAAATTACAAGAATAAATAAGATTAATAAAAACAAGTAATGAGTGCGTCTCTCAGCATCATAGTTGCCGCCGCTGTATTTTACTAGGTTGGTGACACAAAAACAACTAGATTTATCCCTAGAATTGCACGATTCATGCAAGAAAAATAGCACCGGTCCTATAAAAATTGCATGCAAGTCTCTTGCAGCAATTGATCAGCTGGCTTTGAACTGCGCATGCCTTTCGCAATTTTTCTTGCAACTTGCATGCAATTGCAATTTTTATTGCTCCATGTCAAGCGGGCTTAAGTAACTTCAGCAATCACCTCTACACGGGCAACGGGGCAAAACAGTTGTTGCATTCAACAGTAAGAATGCATACATTTAAAAGTTGCGATCTTTAAAAAATACTAACAAATATGCGGCAGCATGTCTCTACAATTTTGCTTATGGCGTTTGCTCTGTAAATTTGAAATGTTTGGAAAGATTATGATGTGACGTCACGGCTGTATCAGTCTATTGATAACTGTACAATAAACGAACGGCATAAAACGGATAGAGCGTCTCTAAATTTTGTACAGCTGTTGTATAGTAGGTATGGATAACAAAAAATACTTTTGGCTGTATCCTGCATGAGGGAGCAAATTTGATTTATTATGGACAGTGATTCAAATACTAATATACCTAATAATAAATCATGGGAATGTGTAGTCATATTCATTGCAGACGCAAATGTTGTCCAAATTATCTTTATGAAAGAAATCGCAAACCAAAAACAGTCAATCGTTAGGTTAAAATCAACCTGACCCACGTGATCACGTCTATATTGCGCTCCATCTGCACTCTCTCAAGTGTTAGCGGGGAAGGATTGGAGTTGTTTTCTTTTGTTTTGTAATGAAAAAATGATACGATGTCACGAACACTTTTTTCGTGCACTAATAAACGAATGCTTTAGAGCAAAAAGAAAGATAAGAACCACAGAGAGTTGCAGAGAGACAGTGTTGACTGTTGCAAATAATGACCCCAATTAAATCAGGTCGTACGCGAGTGTGCGCACTAACGGAGTGGAGATATAGTGGCGAATCAGCAGCATAACTGCGAGCAAAACAAATCAGTTGATTCGCCTTTCACGCACCGCGCATGTGTCACAACGGGCCGGCCGTTGAAACTGTAGGTATCAAGGGATGTGGCCCTAGAGTAAGAAATAAAGATAGAGTACGCGTACGCTATAACAACGTGAACGTTTGTTTTGAACCAACATCTCACCGTTGAGAGGACGAAAATAAACATTAGTCAGTGGCGTAGGGTTTATTTATCAATTTATCTTTATGGGCAACAAAGTTTATGTTTTGTTTACATGTGCAAACGTAATAACGTATCACTAAATATTTATGATCAAAAGCTGTATGTGTTTGAAAGGTCCCTATTGATCTATGATAAGGTATGGTGATACTTCAAAGTGGGAACTTAGAAGGAAATCTAAACACGTCTATGACATCAAAACAAATACCGATGAAAGGTTATGTTAGGTAATTCAATAATTCCACAAATAATACAGCTTTTCCCCATTTCAAAGCGCTCCCATAAATTAATACACCATAAATCGAATAAGTCTTGCACTATAAAAACGCCTAAAAATTAAGGAATCACGTTTTAACGAAATAAACAAAATACCTCTCAACGGAAAACAAAGTTACAGTGTTGCCGATGTGGTGCACTAATCACCATAACTTTTCTTGTTACGCCGTTTAATTGTAAGTTAAAATTGTTTGGGTTACTGAACTCATAAGCATCTAAAAATCCATTTAGATTACTCCAGATGCATATGTTATTATTATTCCCTTAAAAACTATCTCGTGAAATGTGACAACTTAGCCTCCTGCAATGTTAGTAAACAAACGAGATGATGGCACGCATAGATAAGCATCAAGGCATCTCTATCTTTACTATCATGTATCATGTGTATCTGAACGCGTAAACCTGCTTTTATACCATGGTTTAATGTTACTAGAAACCGTTCGGAAAATAGTCAACTACTGACAACCGTGTAAATTGCCCTTTAAATACAGCGGTACAAGACCTACTTCTCTCAAATTCAACAATTCACTGTGAAGTGACAAGATTCACAAAGATAACCTCTCTAATATATAAGTCTGAAATTTGTGTAAGTGGTAGTTTGAACATCTGTAGGAAAATTGGAACCTATGGAAGCTTTTAAAATTCCTGAATGGGAATGTAGTTATCCCAGTTCTGCAAAAACATTCAATGTAAGTTATACATACATTAATAAAAACATGTTACAGTAAGTAGATAGGTACCACACTTGTTCTTTCAACAGGAGCTCGTAAATCATTTTCACTTATAGTCTGTGTCCAAGATAGAGATGTCTATCATGGAGTCTTGGAAAACCATTGGAGATACTAAGAAACGTATTGAAAATCTCTCAATGCTGTCTTGTAGAGCTCAAATAGTGGCAATAATGAGCAAGTGTTTTTTGTATTTTTCGGTATTTGCTCAAATAAGAAAAATGCATCAAGTTATGTGGTGGGATATTCGAACCCTTGCTTTAAAGCCCAAATTTCGATATTTTAGGCGTTTTGTTTCGGCTACTTCGCAATCATGATTTCAAGATCGTGATATGTAGGATTACGTTTTACGAAGAGACTGCGCGAATTTAAATCAAAGTATGGTTAAGTTTACGGAGAACACCTTTGCATTCGAATTACGTATTTTTTGTTTGGATTATGAAAATAATTTGAATACAAGTTGAAGTACTTGCACAATTATGCTCCTCTTCAGTTATCGCCCTGGGCTACATTTAGCTTGGCTCCTCCGTAACTAATGTTTATAATAGTTAAATTGGGTACTTAGTAACCGAGCTTCGTAATGTTATTTATCTGTATTGATTTTGAAACAAAATGCATCAAAAACCATAGAGGAGAGGAATGTCCCACCGGCAGAAATAAACAGGTTTTTTAATACAAGCGTTGAATGATAAGTACATTTATTTTTGCACATTTGTTTCGACAAATTTTATCCACAAGCCCACGTCTTGCAAATATAATTTAGCCCATTTATAACCCGGAACCTGAGTTTACTGTTTTAAAAATATGGACAAAACTGTAATTAATATAATCACTCTTATAGCGTTTTCGATTGGTAAATCTTGTGCTGCACGAGTGTTGCACGAGAAACTGAAGAAATCCTGTGAAAATTGCTCTCAATGGAACATAAATATTTGCAAATATTTGTTGTCATTTGTTTGTCCATAACCTCATTATAGATTTAGATAATCGACAATAATCTCTATTCTAAAAAATGACTGAAATGATTTCAGTATTATTTATGATAAACGATGAGGAGTATAAATTTGCAATTCCTGTAAAAGACCAATTTTTGGCGTTCAGTTTAATGACTAAGTGCAACTTTTTGTAAAGTAGAAGTTATGGCTAGTTCATCATCTTCGCTATCGCTAGATGACGACAAAAAACTCTCCCAATGCAAGAAACAAATTCAAATTGTCGCACATGTTTGTTTTGAAAATTTGTTAACTAGCAGCTCCAAGAGCTCTCAGACCTCGTGCGTCGAAATTTGCACTGAGTGCGTAATTGTTGCATCACATTTGCCAATGGAACACAAAAAATTGCCCTAAAATTACCAATAGAACGTAAAAATTGCACTCGTGCAGCACGAGTGTTGCCAATCGAAAACGCTATTAATTTGCACTACAATTATCATTCCTAAGAAAAAACCGAGGAAAAAACTGTGAAATATTCATAGTAGTGATATACAGTCTCTCTAACACAAGCAAACTGAAATGGAACGACATTACTTGAATACTTGGTTACCTTTTGCTCTAATTCATGAAGAAAGATAACATATTTTCAATTGTTTGATGGAGGTACCTACATATCACAAAAGGATCGACTTCGTTTATACTTTTTTGGTAGGTTCTTTGTAACTTTTTCTTTAGATTTTTTGACAATAATAGTAGTAGTTAGCAAGATTTCACATTCAGTTCTCCAGTTATTAAAGAGGTAATCATTTTAGATCTGTCACTCGCTGCACCACAATAAAAACCTAACAACTACAAAAATGTCTCGAAACATGCAATCCTTAATCAATTCAAACCACCATTGAAACTCTCACGTTTAATTTTCTCAGTCGTTAGTTATTGATCTTAATTATTAACGTTGTTACTATAAACCCATCCTTAAATATACTTTACTATTCTAGAAAAAAATCAAAAACATCAAGTCTGGGCGAATTGAAAAGGTAAAAAATAGCAAAAGTACGCTTAAAAATGGCAAAACAAAAAAGAAAATCAAGCTCACCAATCCTAAAAAGAAGATAAGCAACAAGAATATGTCAGTGACAAATGTAATAACTAGAGGTATTACAAAAAAGCAAACTAAATGTAAACCGCAGATGACAGCGGAGAAATCTGCAAATAATATATTAAACAAAATCAATCACAAGCACCGTGAAATTAATTTAAATAAAAAAATGACCAAAAAAAGGAAACACTCTAACAGTAACGATAAAAATAAATGTAATGCTAAACTGACTTCAAGCAAAGTTAGTTTAAAATCTACAAATGAGACTTTTAGCGAAGAAACTACATCTTTGACAGTGAAAAATAAACCCCGAAAAAATCCTGTAACCCATCAAACTTTATTTTTTAACAAGTCCAAACGTAATAAAAATTTAAAAAAGGAACCTACGCAAAAGGCGACCATTGCACCAAAGAGACCAGAAATATATAGGGAAAGTCTGAAAAAATTAAGCAAGTTGCCCCTTCATGAACGCATGGTTGAAAAGTTAAAGGCAGCAAGATTTCGTTACCTGAATGAACAGATGTACACAAACACGGGCAAAGAAGCTAAGCAGTACTTCGATGGGGATATAAATGCATACAAAGCGTATCATGATGGATACAGATTGCAAGTGTCAAGGTGGCCCATTAATCCCATTGATATAATAATAAGCAAAGTAAAAAAGCTGTATGTATTTAAACATTTCAAATAGTCGATACCTTTATGTCTTATTGCAGGGATCGTAAGCTTGTGGTAGCCGACTTTGGTTGTGGTGATGCAAAATTGGCAAAATCAGTCCCGCATAAAGTACATTCTTTCGATTTGGTTGCGACTGATGACACAGTTACAGCATGTGATATGGCTCATGTGCCACTTACAAATGACAGTGTCGATGTTATTGTTTTTTGTTTGTCACTTATGGGTACTAATCTCAAAGAGTATTTCATGGAAGCCAAACGTGTATTAAAAAATAAGTAAGTACTATGTTTGTGATGATTTTCAAATAACACCTAATTCTTGCCTTCTAGTGGCTTACTGAAGATAGCAGAAGTGGAAAGTCGGTTTGAGGATATCAATAGTTTTATAAGCAAGTTACGTAGTTATGGATTTGTGAATAAGGCCAAGGATTTAAGCCATAATCTTTTTTGTTTTTTAGATTTTGAACTAAACAAATCAAAAAGCGTTAAAAATGAAAACTTACCAGCAATTACGCTTAAGCCTTGTTTGTATAAAAAGAGATAATATAATATGTAAAGCCTATTTTATTTTTATTTGTTTAACTATACGTATACGTAGATACGTACAATATATATTTAAAGGTTGTTTCCAGGAGATATTTTCGATCAATGGTATTATGCCTTGGCGTTGGATAGCCCTAAATGTCTTAATACCAATTTACATTTTGTGGAATTTTAATGTACGTATAGGGTATAGGCAACTAAGAACACACAATCACTTCAGTACTCATTTATGTCTACTGCGCATGACGCCTAATACGGTGCGCGAGGTCGCAATTTGCTTATTATTAAAACACGGTATTGTTCATCCATCTTTTATTTAGGTCAGTGGTGTCAATCTTTTGCTAAGTCGGTGTAAATATGTCACCTCTCGAAGCCTACATGCTGGATATTTTGAGAATATTGTTGTTATAATTTTATGTTACCTGTGCTATTCATCTCATCACTAACAATTAATTTTGCTATACAGTTCTATTTTTCCCAGCCTAATTTTTATTTTTATTCGGTTAACTACCATTTTCAAAGTTTATTCTTGCAATGTAATTTATTTAGACTTAAATTTCCATAATAATACCAATAATTATTAAACAAACTTTTCATAGTTTCAGTAGGTATTTTATTTTATGTTCCTTCCCTACTGTACTTCAGGTAATGTCGTTTACAACTAACGTAAGGGAACAGCAAGCCTGCTTTATTTAGATGTTTGATCACGAGCCACTTTTCTTTTTCAAATTTAAGCGTGTTTATTTGTTTAGCTTCTGGAGGAAATAGGCATTCTGGTGGCCATTTTTCAACATTGCCGGATTGATTTTATTTCCATATTGTTCTTGTAATGTCAAGTTAGCGTAGAACCTGGGGGTTAATAAGTACACTACACAAGTTTGAGGACTAATTAACCTTTCTTCTTTTCTCTGTTTAATATGTTTGTGATAAAACAACCTTAACTGTGTAGTGTACCTACTTAACCCCCAGACGCTAGCGTCGTACTACATCAGTAACACGGAAATAAAATAACCACAGTAATGTTTAAAAAGGGCCCGCGGAATGGCTACTCCCCAAAAACTAAACAGATTCAACTTAAATTTGAAATTAACACCTAATGCAGAGCCCCCTTACGTTAGTTGTAAGTAAGCAACTCTATGATGCGAAGTACAGTGGGAAGAAACGAAAGATACACTGAAATTGTGAAAATATTGTTTAATAATTATTGCTCATATTATGAAGATTGTAAAAATTCGGAATTTTCTCGAAATAAATTACATTGCAAAAATAAACTTTGGAAATGGTAGTTCACTGAATAAAAACAGAAATAGGCTGGGAAAAAAAAGAACTTACCAAGAAAAAAACCAACCGACAAATGAATATTAAATTGTGTAGCAAAATTAATTTTGTTTGCAATGATGTGAATGCATAACATACATGTATAATAACAATATTAACAAAATATGTGTAATATGTAGGCTTCGAGAAGTGGCATATAGGTTAAAAACAAGTTTTAGGAAAAATGGGTCAGATAAGCAGATACCAAGATTATGAGAATGGGTGAAAAACACAGGATGTGACTGATTTTTGGTGAAATAAAATCCTTTTGTTAAGAGCAAGATGGAAAATTACAAGGCCTTGGAGGGCAAATTTAATATTACAACAAAATATGTAGAAATCTGTCAATCGCAACTCGTACAACACTCATTGATTCTAAACCGAAGTTTTTATTAGCAGAATCTCGCCCCCACGATAGATAGCTCGCCTCTCGTTCGGGGCTTTGAGCCTACAGTTGACTGTTGAGATCAATCCCGGTATTGAGTGGGGTAACTCGTTTGGTTACAGTTTTTGCCACCCCCGTCACTGAGTTGGGGCTAAGACCATGTAATCGAAACATAAACAAAAATTTCGCAAAGATTACACCAAACATGAGCGCGACTTCAAACAAAGGGTTAACGGTATCAAACACATGAATCTGCATTAAGGGTAAATCCAGTCAACTTCAAATAAAAGAATCACAAAAAATATAATGCTGCACACAAAACAAACATAAAGAAATGCAAAGATTACTAGCTGCATTTAATAACTTTAAAAAACAAACATTTACGAAGTGATGCTTTCGTGACCGGGGTTACGTTGGGGTTGGTGCTCTTTAGATGGCACAGACGGTTTTTCCCTCCTAAAAATTGCGTGGTTGCCAGTAGGGATGGGCGATAACTGTTTTCACCTATCGATAAGTATCGGGTACTTACCTATCGATATATTTTACTTATCGATATGTCGATAATTATCGAAATATCGATAGTTATCGATATGTCGATAGTTATCGCTAGGGATGGGCGATAACTGTTTTCACCTATCGATATAAGTATCGATATATTTTACTTATCGATATGCCGATAATTATCGAAATATCGATAGTTATAGATACACCGATAACTATCGAAAGATCGATAACTACCGCTATATCGATAAGTATCAGTATATCGATAGTTCTCGTTATGGCGATAGTTTTTAATATATAGGTATCGATATAATACTACCGATAATTTTTTTGAAAGCGTGTCTAAAAACTGCATGAGTTTACTTTTATATTTTGGCGAAAGAGCCCGACAAGACAAGAGGGCTCTTTTAACAAAATATGAAAATAACCGAATGCAGTTCTTGCAACTTTATTGGAGTTACCATATTAACTGTGCAATTATCGCAGGGCTCTTTAGCTTTCTACAATGCAATTAGCGCTGTAATTAAGCGGTAATTGCACGTCTCATTTGAGAGAAATATTCGACGTATCGATAGTTATCGACAGGGATAGTTATCTTATCGAGTTTTATTAATAAAATCCATTTTCCGGTTTATTCTCGTGTAAAGTGACTATTAATAGTTACTCGACGTTTCTTTGCTACCTTTATCAAGAGTTTTTTGTTAGATTTCGTAAATCTCAATCAATTGAAACTGTATATCTAAATTTGAAGTGTTCTTAGCTTTTTCTGTTTTTTTGTGACTGGTCCTCTGTAACCATCAGTCAGATACCGATACATAGGCCATGATTACACCCTTTGATTGTCTTCTTTATTTTAGCTAAAGAGTAGCCATTTTGATGCAACATTTTGTTCAAGTTTTTGAAGTGCTTCTTTTTTTGAGCAATCGTCAGTAAGACGAAAAGATCTATTTTCTAAAGATTTTATTACTGCGTTTATTCGGCATGGATGATGATGTGACGTAGCGCTTCTCTTGAGAAAGGGAGCAAAGTTAAGTTTCCGAAACGTCGAGCGACTAAAAATAGTAAATTTACACGAGAGTAAACCCGAAAATGGATTTTATTAATAAAAATAGTAGCGCTCGTTGAAATCTCAACAATAACATAATTTTATCGTACAGTTATCGACATATCGATAGTTATCGACATATCGATAGTTATCGACATATCGATAGTTATCGACATATCGATATATCAATAGTTATCGACATATCGATAGGTATCGATATATCGATACCGATATATCGATAGTTATCGATCTATCGATATATCGATTTTTTTAGCTCTACCTATTGTTATTCGATATATCGATAACTATCGATACCTATCGATATATCGAAAAAAATTCCCATGCCTAGTTGCCAGTTCTCAAAAAGGTGTGGATCGTCGTAGATTGCATATACAGGGAGAACGGTACGCGTCAACTCGCCACCGACTGACTCGCCAACAGGACAACTCGCCGACGCGACAACTCGCCAACGAAATATTTTTCCCTGTTTAACGTTTCGTTCAAATAACGATGTGATTGTCAAATTTTCTGTTCAAATAAATCGAAAGCTCTTCCTTTTATGTCTAAGAATATGTGTACCAAATTTGGTTCCAATCGGTTCAGCCGTTTAGCCGGAAACGAGAGTACAGACAGACAGACCGACATTCTCGAGATTTTGTTTCATTCTGATTTCTGGTGCTTCAAAACTGGTGTATTTAACGTAAAAAAAGTGGGGGGTCATACCCTCATTTTTTACCTCAATGCAAGTACCTCCCTTTACCAACGTGCGCGTGGTAGTAATGATTTCCCCATTTTCCAAAATAAAAGCAAAACGCCAACGTAAAGATAGGAAACTCAAATTGCACTTAAAACTCCTAATGCGACATCTCATTACTTGAAACGGAAAACAAAAGAAACTGCCTGTCATTAAAAATGTATTGGAAAATGTTAGAACCAGGTAATTTGCAGAAGATGTCGTTATATCAAAATGCAGTAATAGAAACAGGTATTGGTGGTAGGGTCTTCATTCATTAATTGACTACAATTTTTCGATAAACTTTGTTTACAAAATTAGGGAAATTGACTATTGCATTTGTGGGATGCATTTGTATGACACAATAAACAGGGAAAAATATTTCGTTGGCGAGTTGTCCCGTTGGCTAGCCGGTCGGTGGCGAGTTGGCCGTCCCGGGTGAAACCTCTCATCAGTTGGTAACTTTGTTTGTCTTTTTCGGATATCTCCGGAAGTAAGCGAGGAATTGTCTAATTTCTCTTTAACAAATTATTCAGCATGCGAAAACTTTCTTTATTTAACCAACTTTATATCTCTTACCTACCAGGAAAGAAATTGTATCACCCTTATACCTTTTCATAAAAGTAACATTCCCAAAAACATCGATGCCAAACACCAAAAATCCCTGTTTAACGTCCACTTCACATTTTATCCCTTCCGTTCCTGCTTTATCAACTTTTTCAAATTACTGCGCGTCGTCGATCAACAGATCAACTCACACCTGTTTACTTTCGGCGATAACGAACTCCTTATCGCATGACCGGAGATAAAAAAACTTACAAAACAATACGCAATTATTTCCAGATGTCCCTAATCTTTTAACACGCAATAAAGATGAATAAAAAATACAAGATGATTATTTAAACAAAATTAAATATCTTGTTACATGTGGTATATATGTTAACTGTGCAGTGTTTGAACCAAATAGGTTCAAGCGTTTGGCAGGGACAGAAAAGCGTGACCCCAAGGAGTCATTGGATTTGACCCATTTTCAATAGGCTTATTACTTGTGGCATGTAGGTCAACTGTGCAAAGTTTGAACCAAATCGGCCCAAGCTTTTGACAGTTATTGTGTTCACGGACAGACGGACACCATAGACTCCCCTATAAAGCTTGCTACGCTTTGCTCTGCCGCTTAATAATTCAAAACAACACTTGACTTCGAACTCAAATACTATGATCGAAATTATATTCAATATGTAAATTAGTGACCACATTTAAAAAAATTGAAATTCGACTTTTTACGGGTTTGAAGTTATTAAAATTAACCATTAGTTTTAAAACACTTTGTTGAAGAAATTATCATTCTAATGAAGCATCATGTCAGTTTTGTTGATTTTGGAACACCTTTTGAAATTCAAATCAACGGAGTCATAGGTACAGGGCTCAAAAGAAAAGTAGTTGAATGTCAAACATTTTGAAAACGTTTGATGCTGGGTATAGGGAAATGTGGTAGATTCTCAGATATAAATTATTAATGACAGCCTTAATACTTTTAGGTAACGGTTTGCGAAAAACAGCCTGTATATGTAGGTATAATAAAGAATATTTCTATGATTGATAGTATCAGTAATTTGTAGATCTGCTATCATATCAAATGATTATATAGAGAAATCATTGCTTTAATCATATTGTTATTGTTTGCAAAAAAGGCACGACGTTTGCCTCATAATGTGTCAACTAATCTTGCTGCGACCATAAGCATTCACAGAATTAAATAATTATCAACCAATGAGTGATATGAATTAAACCAGTTTTCATTTTGATATATTTTTAAACGTGCAAAAGGTCAATTGTTACTGCTGACATAATACAAGTAATACCAAATTTTGAACTTTGTAATATAGATAATGTTAATTGTTAATAAGGCATAGCTTGTGTGACCTTTGATAAATCTTTAGCTTTATATATATTTCGAAATACAAATCAGTCAGTATCCCACAAGATGAAGCTTATTATAATATCAATTACATTTTTATCTTTAAGTTTATTGGCACGCGGCAGCAAACATCATGGTCCCAACTATAAGGACCACATTGGTATTTTGAAATAAGTTAATGTTGACCAAAATAAACTGTTATTCCTTAGGATTCTATTGGGAGGATTTTGAAAAAACTAGAATTATGAAAGGAGTTGTAGGAGGCAAAGATGCACGTAATAGACATACATATATTGGTTTAACAAAACATTTAGAGGGCAATAAAGAGTTATTAGTGCCTGGTGTTATATACCCATGGGATCTAGAGCCTTATATGGTGTATGAATGGAACGAACGTCCAAAGAAAATCATAGCAGATTTTAAAGTAAGTGAAACATATCACATTACATTTGATCGAAGATTTGATTTTAATAGATGCTTTACACCAACTACCCTGATCATATGACATGGATTAAAACAAACACTAGTGATATAAGGCAACTAGTACGAGAAAAGGAGTTAATTAGTGCAGGATATGATACACGTCACAGAAAATACTACATTGGGCGTATTCCAATGAATGACAATTTAATTTTAGGAAAAATTATAATAAGCAATAATGGCGACAACGACGGTTTTTTCGCTTTTTCTAAATCGGGATATCATCACGCAATGGAATTTGAAGTGCTTGTACATGAATTAAAATTAAATTCTATCATGTAATATTATCACCAAGAGTAATTATCGTTACGTCATAATAATCCATCCATTCATAATAAGAACAATTGTCAATTCCATCAAATGCACTATGAATGTTCACTATACAATACAACGGGCAGTATAAACATTTTAGCTAACTTCATATGTTTATACCGTAGCGGTAAGCACTTTAGAGAATTATATGAACTTTATCTCGAATCATGTCGAACTTGGTGTTACTGTAAAATGTGATTTGACGAATTTTTGTTCGATAGATTAGCGCTAAATATTACAACACAAATTCTGAAAATTACCTTTTCTGTAACTAAAATCAGAATTGATGAGGTCAAATAAATCCATTTTATTTCGTAAATAACTGAACATACAAACTACTACATATATAAAATAGCCTATTTTGCACTTATTTCCACTCCGTCCAATACATCCTCAGCATCCTCTCGCAGATTTTCAACTTTTTCCAATAGCAACATCTACACATTTTTATAAGAATATTAATTACAATGCTAATATAACGGGCGATCAAAAATGAGTTGCTGTCGAGTCGCCTTTGGAAGTTCAAGTCAAGTACAATTTCCCATGTAAACAAAAATTCCAAAGGTAACTCGACAGCAACTCATTTTTGATCGCATAGTATATTCGTACCTTAGCAGCCGCTATAAGTTCATTCGCTACTTTGTACGACATAAATTCTATCGAATTAACTAAACTCTCAGGATCCGCTTTGGCAATACTTTGCAATGTTTTAAAGCCGGCATTATATAATTGTTTGGCACGCCCCTAATAACATCGTTACCTCATCTTACTGTATTGTACGTTAATATCTTACCTGTTTAACGGCTGGCAATTCCATAAGCGGCAAAATGTCTCTACCACAACAGTGAGACAATCTTTGACTCATTCCCTTTAGAAGAAAGACAAACGCCCATAGTTCATCTAACTGTTCACAAAAATTAACAACATTAGAAGAAAAAGTGGCAGCATTTGTCATTAAATTTTGCACAATTCCTCTGTTAACCTAGAACACACCAAATAAGTAAGCTGGGTTTGACAATTGTCAAACAGCAATAACAGTAGACTTACTGTACAATCTAATACTTACTTGATATTTCTCAGACACATCAAGAACAGAAGTTTCATTCCAAAGTTCATACAGCATTAACGACATATAAAACCGGTGAAGTACAGCTTCAGAGACAGTCTAGAAGCGAAACAAAATTAGTACCACCATTTTTGTTACTTAATAATAATTTAAAAAAATTTAACTTCTGATTGGGGTAATATACACTGTGTCCAAGATAAGGATTTCTATCATGGGGATCTCAGAAACCATAGAAATTACGAAGATGGTCCAATTAGGGAAAAGCTGCACAATTAAAGAGTTATTATCATGCTGTAAAGAAACCTCAAAATTCCGATTTCCGAAAATATTCCAGAAAAACCGCAATTTGCCGATTGTGGTTTTATATTTTTCTGATGATATTTGAACACATACAAAAAATAAAAACCACTTTCTCATTTCCACTTTTTGGGATCTGTAAAAAAAGTACCTACTACAGTATGTACTCAATACAATGAGTAGCATTTTTTATTATGAATACAATGAATGTGTGACACATAATAAAAAACAAAAGTTGGCACCTGTTGGTTTCAACAGGATGGTGCACACGCGCACAAACGCCCTAATCATGGGAAAATACCTATCAAACAAACTTACTGGAAAGTGGAAAATTTGTCCGATAGGCATTTTCACACAGAGGGCGTTGTGCGCAAGTGCACCATCCTGTTGAAACCAACAGATTCGAGCTTTGCTTTTTCTTTGTTTACTACCCAAATAACATCAAGAAAAAATAAACACGAAATTGGTAAATTCCAGTTTTTCTGGCATATCTTCTGAAGTACCTACCTATTCGGATTTTTCTGGTTTTCTTTAGAGCATGGTAATAACTGTTTAATTGCTCAACTTTCCTCTAATTTGACCATCGTTATATCTTTTATGGTTTCGGAGATTCCCATGATAGACACAGTGAATAAAAATATATATTTTAAACAAAAAATCAGGTGGTGTTAAAGTTAGTTACATGAGTTATTTGTCTTAAGGCCGGACAGTACACCTAATCCGTTGCGCCTGAAAACGTTTGATTTTGTTCCACGATGTCTGAATTCTGAGTGAATATGCAGAAGGGGCGAATATTCCTATTAAAGGTGATTGCTTTAGGTATAGACAATAACGCCGCGGTTTAGTAAAATGTTTTGAAATAGTTCCAACTTCATGTACAGATGAGTTATCTTGGAACAATGATTTAAAAGTTTACCTCAAACGTTGAGTGAAAAATTGAGAAAGAGACGACACCGTAATGTAAAAGTGCGTTCCATAGCACCATGCCAACCATGCATTCAACCCACACCGTTAGCAGAGTAAGGAGATAAAATTATTGCATTCAACACTTATAGTCTCTAGGCGATAGAGACTGTAAAATTGGCAAACTGGACATTTTGAGGTGGAAAAGAAAAAAATGGTGGAATATGTTCAGTTAGGTGTCAGAAACAACATATTCAAAATCCCACCCTCCAGACCCTGTGCTAAAGGCTCCAGCCACCCCACCATCCCCCAAAAACCGTGTTTTCGCTCTTTTTGGCTGATATCTCGCGATCTATGAGGTCTATATGAAATATTTTTAGGTGAAAATATTTCTCGGGAAATTTCATACAAGGTAGATACTCAGAAGTTAGCCTAGGTGTACCTCTTAGCCTAGGAAATTCATAAAAGAGGCCAAAATCATCCATTTTCGTGGCTTTTTGCAAATATATCGCGACCTTTAGGGCTAGATGAAATATTTTTAGCTAAAAATGCTCCTCGTGAAATTTCTTACAAGGTAGATACTCAAGAAGTTAGCCTAGGTGTACCTCTTAGCCTAGAAAACTCATGTATTACAAAATTCCATGGCATCACAGATTATTGAAAAAGATGGGGGTTTTATTTTTCCAATTTTCCGTCTTTATTATGCAAAAAATTGAAAACTAATACGGTTGATTGACGTAAAAATTTTTTTCTACAAAAAACCTTAATACATTTTTGCTCTAAAATAATTTGGGGAGCCAATAACAGCATGTTGTGAATTTTACATTGAAATCACTATGATGCGTGACACAAGTCATCACCCTGTGCACAGTCTAACAGTCACTTTTTTTAAGACTGACGATAGGATTATACATGTTACTTTTTCAACCCCCTGTTAACTTTTGCCTTTAGAAAAATATTCAATTCAGTTTTGTAGTAAAGTTGTGGAATTCCACTTTAATATCCACAAGTAAGGAAAAACCTAGCAAAAAATGTTTTTCTAATTCCGTTTGCTTCAGTTTTAAATTTTTAGTAGTTTTTTTTTTAATTTTCTAATACCTCATAATAGGTTCTTAGGGAAAGAAAACCTAAGGAAATTGCGCAGAAAATTGGAAAATTGCAGAAAACTTAACGACTATTTAAACTTCGCGCGTTTGACAATTCGCGTCATTGACAGTTGGCGCGCGCCAAATGTTAACGGCTGCATCGGTCGGTATGTATCTATCCATGAAAAAATAATTAATTCATTTCATAGTACAAGTCTATTCGATTGGAACGTTTATCCAGTTTTCAGTTGCTTCAGTGAGTTTTTTGAGAAGTGTTTGTTCAAAAAATAAACGGATCGCAATTAGTTCACCACAATCACGCCATTTAAAATAAGATCGCGGGCGACTTGATGACATACGAATCGTAAACAAGAGTATGTTACCCGTTATCCCAGGGAATTTGTAAACTCTCTGGAATTGAGCGGATTACCACCACCCAATCTGCAATTAAAACTTGGATCGGTAATCATCATATGTTGTGGAAAATAAACCACCCACATCTTAGTAATGGCACCTGCCATGCGGTGCTGAAATGAATGATCGAAGTCATAATTTCAAAAGGGAAGTACAAAGGGGAAGACGTTTTGATTCCGTGCATCCATATGATTCCGAACGAGTGAACGACATGCCATTCAACTTTAAACATTTAGAATTTCCAGGTCGGCTTGCATTTGGAAATATCGAAAATTAAATAGCATGGGCAGTGGACGTGTTTGTGAAATCAATCTGGAAAAATTTTTTACCGTTTTATATTGCTTTATGTTTATTTTAGAAGTCTAATAAATGACACTTATTATTATTATTATTATTATTATTAAATGCATGTTTTGCACATGGCCAATTGTATGTCGCCTGGTCCATGTTGGAAAACTTTCAACTTTATTCAAACGCCAAAAAAAAAACTAACATCAGAAAGCATTACAATACGCACTATGTTTTTGAAATAATTTTTTTCCAATAATATTTCCAATTGGAATTGAATATTCATAGCTGAGACAGGACAACGTCTGTCGGGTCAACTAGTAATCAATAAAATAAGAGCGCTAGGAAGCGCAGAATAATATTCAATAAAATAAGAGCGCTAGGCTTTGTAATTTGTACAAAAATAAAAGGTAACAGAGAGTAGAAAAATTAACATGTAAAATCCTATGGCTATTCGCGAAATTTAGTTACTGGACTGCTCTGAGGTTCATTTAAATTTGCATTAGCCGAAAACTCCACTTCCACATTAACATTGGGTAAATTTCGCGAATCAGCTTTTTTTATACCCTGGCAGCATTGTGCACACAACAAATAAAATTACTACATAGGTTCCAGTTTGCGTGAATTCGTATAATCTGCCAACGCGGCCGCAAATGCTACTGACGTCGCGCGGTTTAGTCTCGCGCACAGGTACGTTTTTGGCGAATTTTTTAAAGATTAAAAAAAATGTACTATTGTTTGCGTTTTGTTCGGCCGTTCGGACTCACTTCTGTCGTTTCGAACTACTTTTAGGGGAATGGTCCTAGAGTCCTGGAATTTTTTGTAGTAAGTAGGTAGCCTATACATTGAAGGTGTGCCAGACGGCCATCAAATTTCGCTGTCTAAAAGGGGCCCCCCCCCACGAATTATTTCCTGCTGTGAAAGTAAAACGTGCATAACTTTTATATACGACAACCAATTCGGCTGCCCCATTCCAAAACACAGTAACCAACATTTTTTTCAAAAATGAGTTATCACTTCCATGTAGATACTGTGTTATTTCTGCATGTTTTTAGCTAACCAGGATAGTTCTATCTATTACCGTTACGGAGATAATTTTTGCCAAAACCCAGTATCTGTAGCAACGTAATTCAATATACTATTCCAAAACACAGCAAATGGATTTTACAGACCCTAAACCACAGACAAAACACAGTATGTGGTAGATACTGTGTTTTGAAATAAACTATTGCATGTCATGCGCTATACCAGGAAACAATTAATGTGTGATATATTAGAACATATTATATTAACATTTGTATGGGACAGAATTCCAATTTATTTTCCGTTTCATTACTTGCATTTTTACATTAAAATCAACTTTATTTTGCAGTTACTGTGTTTCACTACCAACGATTCTTGAAAAGTAATAATAACAGTAACTATATAAAATCACAGTATCTACCTTTTTTCGAAAAACAACAAAGAAATAAAAAAAGTGAGCATTTGTCTAATTTCTTAACTCAATATAGGTACCAAATCCGTTTTCCCTGAATGTGAGGGTCCTCACATATTAGCTATGCATGTGATCAAAGTTTTCGTTAATTTACTCGAAAGTTAAAAAACAACACATACTGTGCTTTGGAATGTTTCAGCCGAATTGGTCTCAGATTTTGCTTACGCCTGCCTTTAGTGGTACCAAGTTAAACTTTAGAAAATTGGGGGGAGGGGGTAAACACATGTTCTACCCTTCATGGTATTCTAATGAAAGATCTCATCGAAATAAATTGGTTTGTACAAAGTATAACTTTCCCGTGCGATTCTTTTTCGAGATCAGTGAGCGACGGCGCTTGAGGAGGGGGGAGGGGGGTTAAACATTAATTATTTATCTCTCATTGTATTCTAATTAAAGGTCTCCACGAGAGGAACCGTTTTCTACCAACTACTGGCCAAAGTACGGGGTGGAGGGGGAGGGGGTGGAACTAGTTTTATCCTTCATAGTAATCTAATGAACGGTCTCAACGAAAGGAATTAATTTCTACCAACCATAGCCCTCCTCCTCGACCTCTTATCGTGGTCGGGTATATTCCCTTAAACCTCAAGAATGGGATGTAGGAAGAGGGTACTCACAAAGGGCGATTGAGACGTCTGCAAGAAATATATCCATTGGTGATGTCAAAACAAAAGCTATTTTGGTTATCGCTTTATCTGCACAAGAGATGTGCACAATTTATACTTATTTCTTTTCGCGCTGACCCTTGATTTTCAAATGCTTACAGCGGCCGTAAATATCAATATTTTGCGCCCAAATTTTTTTTGATCGTTTTTTAATAACAAAATCTCCTGATTTCAGTAAAAATCAAGAAATGTCGTACAAAAAATGCGTTTTCGTGACTCGGAATGTTTGGTGGACGTCGTCCACCACCAAGGTTGGTCCACCACCACCCATCCTCGTCCCGAAAACGTGCGTTTTTCGTACTTATGAAACAAATAACTATTTAAATTAATTTGAAAGCCCTACATTACAAAAAAAACTAAATGGCCATTTAGGGTTTTAGCACAAGCATGACTTTTTATAAAGAATGACTTTTACTCGAAAAATGGTCGATTATTTAGATATAGTGAACTTCAACTTGGGACATACTGTATATACACTGAACTTTAAAACAGATGAGATTTATCTTTGTTTCTATAGAATTACTTAATGCGTTTGAGTGGATTCTCAATGAATGACGACTCTAAGGGCCGGTATTATAAAAGTACAGTTCAAGCGCAGATTGATCAAACGGCGATTGAACGTCAAACCAAGGTTGAGAGCGGTTGCGTATTATAAACACCTTTGGAAGAGCGTTTGGTTAATCTTCGTTTGAGTTTTCGATCCCTAGTATGGTAACACTGCGGGCGAACCGAGGACCAATCAGAGCGCAGAATTTTTAGTTGCCGATGCGATGCCGCGCCGCTCGTTCTTTTCGCTTCATTTGTCCCTGCCACTGTCACTGTGCTGATCTGTTCATCTCCTTGCTGAATCGTTTCACATAGCGCTGTTTTGCCTGCCGCTGTGCCAATGATAGACAAGGGAAAAACAGTGAGTCGATTTTACTGACGCGGACGCCCATCAGCAAGCGGACTGCGTTCACTCATATTTTCATATAATTGAAAATAAACGGACGGACGCCTCTACTACCAAGAACAAGGTAAAGCATCAGGATATCATCAGTTGTACGTTTTTTGTTTGCATCTATCTAATCATTCTGTGTTTACACCCTCGTATGGAAGAAAATTGCTCTTCTTCTAATGAACTCATCCTCTGACGAAGAGTTATCGTCGCTTACTGCCCACTTCCAGTAATCGACTCCTTGCACGTCCAATTCCAATTATTTCCATTTCGTTATAAATAGAAACAATGGGTGCGTTCACTGGAACCAAACGTGTTTGCGCTTTGATTACGTTTGCAAACACAAACTGTTTAGGCGCAGGTGAACGATAGGGTGCGTTTGCCAGAACGAAATGTTTGCAAACCGTTTGCGCTTTTTACATAAGTACGTTTACTGAACGCGTTGCTGGTTGTTAAACTGTTTGCAAGCGGACGCCATTTTTTGAATCGCATTTTAAACTCGCTGAAAGTCACAAACATGTTTGTAATTTTGTAAGGAATACATATTTGATTAAACCATCGGCATATAGGTTTATGCGCAAAATTGGAGTAAATTGGTCGTGATGTACCTATAGGTACTAGACCTATACATCACGACCAAAAATTGTATAATTGCACATTGCACACAATGCGCTTTAAAGTTGTAAGAGATAAATCAAATAATTTAATTATGAATGAAGATGGGAGCATTCCATGTATACAGGCTGATTCAAATTCGAGGGCCACCATGGGGATCTCGGGAACTGTAAGAAATAGAAGTAGGTAGTTTAAATTTGGCAAAGTTGAGTATTTTGATACTTAACAAAATGTCGTTTTGAAACTGAAAAAATTCCGGAGATATCCAGAAAAAAATTACATTTTACAAAATCGTTTTTATTTGTTAACTAAGTTATTTAAAAAGACATTTCAAAATAAAGGTCACGTCATTGTGACCACCTTTTTCCGTATACAAGATGCTTATAGTTTTAAAGTTTAGGTCTGACGTTTCGTCACCAATTAACCATCATCAGCTTTGTTTTTTCTTATGGAAGTCATTTTTACTTTTTGTGGCATTTTATAGAGCTTTTTCCTATCAATAAATGGCACTGTTAATCCGTAAAAACGCAAGAAACTGCGAACGTATACAGCCCACGACAAAGTTGCCAGACAAAAAAGAAGATATTTTAACATTACTTCAGCCTCCCACGACCAGTGGTCTTTTTATTGTCGACAAGGGTTTCATAATTATCCCGAAATTTCCGATCCAAGTCATGATGTGACATATCATGCCCTTTTCCTTGAAACATGTCATATTTCTGACCAAATATTTTTTCTTTTCCTTTTTGAATCTCAAAAGTCAAATTTTCAATCTGTGGCGAGTAATAACTTTGTAGTGAAATCTTTCCACACCAAACTTCTCTTCTCTCTTTACTAATGATTAACACAAGTATCTCTACAACCTATATCAGATACTGGCTGAGTGCTCTCGATTTCAGTGGGACTTGTACTGACCCCTTCATATGCGGTTTATGAAGGCTCCAAAACGACACAAACGATTTGCTCGTGTCCTAGTAGATTGCTGTCCATCAAACCCTGCCTTGCAACACTAACTATCCGTTTTTCACCTATACAAATCTTAAATCTTTCTCTCGATCTTTCCTTAAAATGACTAAGTATACTTATGTGGTGAGTTTATTAAATTTATTAAATGTAACAATCTGAAAATAAAAACTTCTCATAAAGCAGGTACAATTTATGGATAAAAATATTTACTCAAGGATCCAGTGAATGTGCAGTTAATACTCCCATCTTGATTTTCTATAGGACAATTCAATTCATCTCGTATAGTAGGATGTATTTAAACTGTAGAAAGGTTGCCATATTTTTATTGAAATGTACAAAAAGAATATATAAAACGGTTTTTTCAGAATTCACTCAAATTAAATTTGACATGTGTGGTTTCCAGGCAAACAAATTGCGCGCTTAGGACAAATGCGCATGCCCGATCAACATGTTTGTGATTTTCAGCGAGTTTAAATTATGATTAAAAAAATGGCGACCGCTTGCAAACAGCAATGCGTTCAGTAAATATGCTTATATAAAAAGCGCAAACGGTTTGCAAACAGTTGGTTCTGGTGGAACGCACTCATAGACACAAAACAAAATAAACTGGTTACGATAATTGTAATTCTTTACACGTTCGCGCGCCTAATCTCCGTTTGGGCATCAAAACCCGAGAAAATTGGCGGGTTGACTACAATCGGAGATTGAGCTCTGGTTACGACTCAAGCGGTGTTTATAATACGCGCAATCGCACTCAAACTACGATTGAACCTCAATCTCCGTTCAAGCGAGCTTTATAATACCAGCCCTAAGTGCTTTGCACATCAGCAAGATTTATGAAATAAATAAATAAAATAAATAAATAAAAATGAAGTTGGAAAATCACCTCATGCTTGAATTCTACTAAGTAAATGACAAAAGTGTAAAATTAACTGTCCTACAAGACTGGTTTTCTTTCTGTAACCTTTTGGTCAAATAACCTAGAAAAAATTTCTTCCCTGCTACAACTATCAAAACTATGCTGAACAAGGGAAGAATGTCAATAACTTTGCAAGATCTTATATATTAACCCTCGTATTGACCCATCCATCTGGAAGGACGAACTATGATTAAGTTTCTCAAACATTTCCCTTAATCAATATTTTTGTATCAAGTGGTCAGTTTTAGTGATTAATAGATAAAATAAAATACCCAAGTTAATTTAATAACTTACCTTTATTGGTCGATTACTGAGCATACGAAATATACATGAGTCTGTAATTCCTAACACATCCGCTGTTTTTTTCTCTTGAATTTTCAGTTTCGACAACTGTGAAGATCAAGTTACAAAAATAATGATCCAAACAAGAACTTACAATGTGATGAAATTGAGTTTTTTCAGGTTTAATCAAGTCCACTAAGTTATAAGGCGTAACCAGGTACAACAGATGTAAGCAATTTATCAACACCAGACAGTCTTTTGCTTTGGTTAGATCGTTATATAATAAACGGGCGTCAGTTAGGCTTAAATTTCCTGAAATGATTAATTTATACTACTGGTTAAATAAATGCAAAGTACCTTTCATGGCCGCGTTTCCCAATTTGCTAACTACCAGCTTTGTGTTATTGTCAATCAGAAGTTTCTTTTTTACCGGTTCGCTGACGTTCATGCTTGGAGACTGTAAAACAATAATATTAATGAATGGTAGTAAGTACTAAGTAGTAAACGAACAAGGCATTCGGTTAAAAATTTAACATAGAATTCTGGTGAAAAACTAACTCACTTTAATTACATTACATAATAGCACCAGCATTATTTAAAGCAAAATATATTTTTATTTAATCGTTTAACATGCCATTTAATTTAAAAGAAATAATATGCTATACTTACAAAGTAAGTACATGCAAAAGTAATATCATTTAAAGGTAGACTATTCTTATCTCCAATTTCAACAGCTTGAAGTTTATGTAGATCATGTATAACTTTCTTAACTAACCCTTCCACAAAAACGTTTAGTTGTGTTTGTTGTACAAACAGTAAGGTTTTACTTATCACAGTTTCCAGTTGTGTTTTGGTATTAGCTGTTCCCAAAGCAATGCAGCTGAGAAATAGTTGCCTAGAAATAGCACATGTTTAACATAGTTGCAATTCGCAATGACTATCTTATTCTAATTGTGAGTCTTCGATCATTAAACATGCATATCGTACTACACTAACAATACATAAAACGTAAGTTTCTTTATTACAGAAATGGCACTAAAAATGTCGAAACTTATTGCGCATGCGCTAAGTTGAAGTGAATAATCTAAAATTCTAAACAATGTAGCCTTTGACTTTTGGATGTTTTGGACTAGGAAAGAACTACCATTACACTTAAGTGCATTACTTTTAATGAAAACCCATATAGAAAAATAAGATGCTTGTACAATAACAAACCTACCTTAAAGGTGAGCATTCTGACTCGTGCAATTTGGACAAGGTTTTATCCATAGGTGATAGAAATAGCTCTTGCACTTTGGCTATCTCAATCGATTTACATATCAATATACTTTCACCTACTTCACCTAAACCGGCTCGACCGGCACGCCCTATCATTTGTTTATATCGTGATAAACTTATAAAATCTTGCGCTATATATGGTTTCCTAATGATTACCTACAAGAGCATAATTAATAAAATGAAAATAACCAACTTGTTGAAATATACTCGTTTTGCTGGTAAATTTACACCAGCCGCCAGTGTTGATGTGCAACAAATGACAGTCACCACGCCGGCTCTGTAAGCTTCTTCAATAAGACGGCGTTCTTCGGTTGTTAAACCGGAATGATGATACGCAATTCCATATGGAATGGATTTTTGCAAAATATTACATATGGTGGCATCATTCTTTAAAGCTTTAAATAATCGATTCTTTTCCAAAACCTTATGTTCTGTTAATTTTCTGTAAAAAACGAATGTAAACTAACAGTAGCTAACTTTATGTCCAACCTTGATACAACATCACAAAGCAGTTTCGTTACATTCTCTGCATTTTTCTTTGTCGGACAAAATATTAAACACGAACCTGTTGGTATAACCTCCATTACCAGAGCGCCTAAATGATCTGGATCAATTTTATTTTGCCTCTCGGAATACTACAAGAACAGATTACTAAGTGCAGCCACTCATCTCAACTTACACCAAAATCAGATTCTCTAGAAGGTTCAAAAACCTGATCGTTATCAGCGTTTGGATTCACTTTTGCTATTTTCTGTCCGCATTTCACATATTCTATTAATTCTACTGGTCGAAAGTTGCGCGTGTACACATCAGCATTTAAAAACTGACTTAACTCTGATAAGTTTCCAATAGTAGCACTCATTCCTACTATGTGTATATCAACTGAAACAAATGATTACGTAAGTCATAGTATTTTTAACTGCGTACATTAGAGCATTTAACAAAAACCAAACCTCAAAGCTATTAAAATGCATGCGTTAGTTACAAACGAATTCCGCTAGGAGTCGCTAGTTTGGTACTTGAAAATTGATGCAAATGCTTTCCGCCTTGCTTCACGGGTATTGGCGATATACGAAAGAAAATATCATGATTTCACTTCCAGTTTTACGGGATGTAGATAGCAACTTTCTTATTTTAAATAGAACACCCTGTATTTTATTGCATTTTCGCAATTTACATGGAAGTCTACGTCGTTTGATACCACATTTCCACTTGAATTTCAAAAACTCTTTCAAAATCAACAATACTGACTTGATGCTACATGAGAGTGATTTAAATTTTGGTCGCCCCTCTACTGGATGTTTTAAAACTAATGGTCAATTTTAATAACTTTCAACCTTAAAAAGTTGATTTTTTCAAATAATCTTTATTTTTTTGTACTTGTATTTAGTAATACTGTAACTTCTTTTGTGATTTGTTTAAGTATGAAGTAATGCGTTATGTTATGTATTATACAATTTATGATCTATTGACAAGAATCCCCACAATATTCAACTCAATAAATTATCTTCTTATTTTTATGGTGTTATATTTCGTTCTCAAGGTTACCATAGGCCATTTTTGGGGTGTCGCTTTTTAGGCTGGTCAATCTAGGCAGGTTTATACAAGTGAGGTAGAAAAAATTAGTAATAAAGTGATCTCTGCGGAAATGAGTACTCAATAGGGTCCTTATTAATCCCTCAAAAATCGCACTTTGTCGCATTCGTGGAACTGGTGGAAAAAATGGCCGATATCTTGATTTTTTTCGAATTTATTAAATATTTCGTAAAGTAAACATTATATCAAAAAAACTCAAGAGACTTTTTTATGGATAATCAAAAGTTACCTTTAATAAAAAAAAGTTTAAGTCTATTGATCAAAAAACAAGAAAGTTATTGAAATTTATATGATTTGGCAATATGGATTTTTTAAAAATTTGGTAAATATCTGAATTACTTAGGTAAAACTGTTTTGTATGCCCAATTTTCCAAATAAGGATTTTAAAGTAAAATACTCAATAATTATTCACATGTTGGCAACACTGTCCGACACAGACGCGACCGCGACGGCAACTTAAGACGATCTTGTTACTATGCGGTTTATTGTTTTAGTTTCCGCGCAATTCGTAAGCGAATAACACGTGGTGTAATTTAGGCGTGATTGTACAAATTCTGACTTGTTTATAACATTTTTTTCGTGTTTCTTTTTAACAATATCTTTTGAAACAAGTGAATGTATTTTTTGAACAATATCTTTGTGCACCGGTATTAAACAGTATGAGTTCAATATCATCAATATCAAATTGTGCTATTTGTGATAAAGACACGAGTGAAAAAACTGTTACCGTAACCAAAAAAGGGTTAATATCTTTAGTTAAAGCAAGTTGTGTCCACAGAAATGAAAAATATACCAAATTTGCTTGAATATTCTTATTTATTATATTTGTTTTTCTCCCCTAAAAAAGTATTTGGATTTTTCTTATTACATTTTTTTTTCGTGTTATGTAGTTTTTCTTTCAGCACATAAAAACTCTTTGAGCTTTTTTATAAAATGCATACTGTTCTAAATAATAACCAAATTTAAAAAATCTCTATATAGCCATTTCATATAAATCTCATTTTTTTTGCCAAGTATAAAACTTTATTTAAACGAAATATTTAAAATTGTGTAACAAAGAAGAACACAATAATGAACTATAAAAAAAAACCACGTTGACCAATAAAATGATAACCACAAAATGTAGAGGTTATTGACCTTTATTGTAATATTTCGTAGGTCCCAGACATTGATCTGTGTCATTATCTGATCTGGTTAGCAGAACTCAGAAACCATTGATTTTACAGGTTGAGTTGAGTACAGTCGCGTTCACTGTTGACCTGGAAAATAAAATATGATCCCATTACATGAACACGAATGGAACCCAAACCTATACGCGAATCGGATCCTAACGTTAACGCTTATTGAACCATCACATATGGGTTTGCGTTCCTGTTAAATATGGGGTCATTAATCTGGGGGAGAGAGATCTGGCAGCACATTGTAATTAATACAGGTGAAAGAAGACTGTCATGCCACAATGTAATTACCTTAAAGAGCAAGGATATTTTAACACGTCTGACGTCACATTTTCTCACAGTACTTTCCAAAATTTGAAATGTGACCAGTGCAATTATGCAACCAACAATAAAAATAATTCAAGAAATCATCTTCTAACGCATAACATTTCCAAAGCCATTAATTGTGAACGGTGCAATTGCATAACAAAAAATAGGAGATATATACATTATTCACTCGGCTTTGAAGTTTGAATAGCTTAAGCTGCTATCAGTCTAATTAAACTACAATTAATAGCGTTCGCTTAAAGCGTCCTCTATTAACACACAACATTATAAAAATTTGATTTGTGATCAGCGTAATTTCGTTACTACTCTTAAAACATGTCACATTCAAGGATGTTACATGCAGTCTGTGCATAATGACAAAAATAGTAAGAAAAATTTAAATAGTCATGCACTAACTAAAGCATGACACATCGCAAAATACCTATCGTTTATTTTGTGGTTAGTGTAATTTATCCCATTAATAGTAAGGGTATTATAAAGCATAATCGATGTAAGGTACAATTTCACTTAAAAACCTGCTAGAATAACCCTATGTTTACAAACCGCTCCCACCTATACTCGCCATTTGTAAATTGCACTAGCACCTCAAGTGTTAATCTGAATCGCGAATTAGTGGTGCAGATCTAATGTTTGCCTCTACAAGTAACGGCGTGGTGAAATGAACCAAGAAACCACTCTAAGACACAGTTGCTATACACGTTATTTTTTCTATGACTAGTATGTAGGCTCTACTGCATGGTACAGAAGATCAACAGTTGTAACGTATTACCTGCTATGTACATCAATTTAGTTAAAAGAGCTTCTAAGGTGGGACCTCGTTGCTCTTCTCCAATTAGATGTAATTCATCAATTACAATCAATCCGAGTTCCCCTAAGCGTCCTGTTTCAATTAAACTGTTAATCAAACCTAAGGCCTTTTCCGTTGTCGCTATATACACGGAATTCTTGTAACGTCTTTTTCTAGGGGGATAAACTCCTTTACCGGCCGCATATTCTTCCACTAAAAAATCAAGCGCCACTCCAAACGGCGACAGTGCCCAAACCTAAAATTGGAGTACTATGTAAATAGGCACCTACAAACGTCAAAACAAAATACTTTTTCTTGGACGATTGAAACGTATGGTAAGACAAAAATGACATTCTGCTTCCGACACAAAATTTCACGAAGAATTAAAATTTCAGCTACAAGTGTTTTCCCACCGCTAGTAGGCAAAGAATAAATCAAATTTTTTCGTTTTTTCACAGCAGGGAGACTTAAACATTCGTGCTGCCACTCTACAAAAATAAGTATCGCATTAAGAGACTAACAAAAATATCAATTAGGTACCATAAAGATTCTCGATTCCTTTGTATTTTTTAATAAGATCTTCAACTATGTTGGGTAGCCCGTAAAACTTTCCCATTTCTTTAAAAACAATCGGTGAAGTCGTAAGAGTCGTATTTACAAGCTTTTTCGTGACGAGCGATTTATCTAGATTTTCCTTTAAAGCTTTTTTGATTATATCCGAGATGGTTTCCCCACATTCTCCCGTAATTTTAGACAGAATAGTTTCATTCATAAACGAATCCTGAAGCCAATCATTTTTAGTTTGTGATTCCTTTGCACCAAATTGGCAAATCGAGTGTTCCAACCTTGTAAATAACTGTGACACTTCTTTGCGATACTGATCAGATTTTAATAGTTGTGTCATTCTCTCTTCAATATCTTTGTTTAAATCCGCTTCAACATTATCGTAACCTTCATCGGCCTGCATATTATTAGTATGTTCTTCACTATTTTTTTTATTTAGAGAAGGTTCTGGAAAGATACTTTTACCGGTACTAAATGCTTCCGTTTGGGTAGACTGGATTGATTTAATAGGATCAGAAGTATGACTCGTTAGCCACGTTAAATCAGTAGGCTTTTGCGTATTGGGTGGGTGGTTTTCCTCCAACAAGAAGTGGAAAAGAGGTAATTGGTCAGATGTTTGTGAAGCACCTCTTTGACTTGCTAAAGTAGTATTTGATAATTTTCTGGTACTTAAAGATTTAGACGTTGCTTTTACATTTGTGGGTGCTTGAAATTTTCTTATTTGAGGCTGGAGATTATCTTTACTAATTTCTGAAAAAGAAATATTTGTTATAAATAAGCAAAAATTAAGCAACACCTTGTACAAATCCAGCCAATACGCAACACAATTTTCTAAATTAGAATTTATTATACTGTTATAAATTTAATCTCTGTAAGAAAGAAATAACCTTATACAGAACAGCATTTCGGTCTGCCTCAATGCCTGCAATCTGCTAACCATCTATCATACAGGGTCCATTATGAAAGTAATGAGCATTTTCTGGGAAAAATAGTTTCATTGATCATACCGGTACAACTGCTTAATATTCCTCAAAATACTCTCCCCCTGCATCAATACACTTGCGGAGACGTGTTTTCCACGCTTGGAAGGCACCCTGAAAGTCCTAGGTGAAAATGTCTTTTAGGGACCTTGTAATATTCTTTATGATCTTTTCCACAGACTCCTACTGCTTTCCTTTCAGCTCTTTCTTCAGTCAAGGAAACAAAAAATGGTCGCACGGATCCAAATCGGGACTGTATGGAGGTTGGGGAACCACCGGGATGCTGCTACGGGCCAGGAAGTTGGTAACGATGAAGGCCGTGTGGTTGGGGTCGTTGTCATGGTGAAGCTTGACCATATTTTTGATGTCATGTACCGCAAATGTGGACATGTTTAGGGTGTTAGCGATGTGCTGCATGCTTAATCGACGGTCGGAACGTAAAACTTCCGTCGGTTCTGGCCATTGTTGCGCGTCCAGAACGGGATTCATCAGCTACCTCTTCCCTACCCTCCTTGAATGTTTTGTGCCACTTCCCGGACTGTGACCTTGAAATGTAGCCGTCCTTGAATGCTTCTTGAAGCATCTGGAATGTCTCCGTTGCATTCTTTCCACGTCGCACGCAAAACTTGATGGCGTATTGCTGTGCAAGCGAACCCTCCTTCCACCGTGTTACAAACTCGAAAAACACACTTTACGCAGAGACACGTCTTTCCCCTCAGACTGCTCGGAGCAAAATGGCGATCAGCTGCGTTGGAAGGCAGACCCCCCCGCCACATTTCCCGACCGGTTTTATCGAGCTGCAGTGGATAGTCGCGTCACAATAAATACATGCTCATTACTTTCATAATGGACTATGTATATATTTTTATTTTAAGCTGACTTTGATGTACTAAGTATCACAACCCGCTATACATTTATAAAACATTCAAGCTCGAATGTAATTTGACATTATGATAGACTATGCATGCAAACTCGCAGAAGTATGTGGGTAGAAAGAATACATTTTAAAAGTTGCAATAGTTGATAGTACCACGATAGTAAGCTTCCATAAAAATTGTATTCGCCTGCATGTTTGACAACCAAATTCATCGGCAGGTCACGCTGTTATGAAAGAAGGCTAAGCGATACGCATGCTATGGAAATAAGCAAACTTACCTTTGCTTTCCTTGAACACATGATGTTGCCGTTTCATGCTTTGTCCGACTGTCTTGAAATCGTCATCTAAACTCTTACGCTTGCTTTGCATATCTCGATCGCCTGTATTGGCGGACACATTGTCTACAATCTCGTCTATTTGTCTTACTACTTGGGTGGAAGCACAAAATTGGGAAAAATCGTCGTTAGTTTGACTGTCATAGTAACATCCATTGCTACTGCTCTTAGCATCTTTAATGAGGAAACTAAGGTCTATTTCACTGTCGGTATTGTCTGTTTTTGCACGGTCTAAAAATCAACAAAAACCAATTCAGTCCCAGGCTGTTGTTAACACGTAAGTATGTAAAATTTTTAAAAAACAAATCAACAGTACTCAAATTTACGTTTTTTTGTTTTTCCTCAGCCATACACACAGCATGTAATTACGATTAACTTGTTTAAATTTTAACCATGAAAACATCTTTTTTTACTGTTTTTAAATAGTAGACCTTGGATTCATGGAGATTTTGTTTTGTATATTGAATCCATGGCCATTAAGGCAACTAATACATATCAATAAAAATGGCTGATAGTAAAAACATGCAACTCCAAAATTTTGAAAAATATGATTTATGTAAATTGTAATACATCATCATCAGGAAAAAGAAAAAGAACAATTAACACTAAAATATACAGGGTGTTGCACTTGAAAAATACCAACTTTGGGTCAAATCTTTGAAACAATGGTACACATTTTTTTACTGCTACCTTTTTTCTATCTCACATCGGTAGTAAGATATAACGTCTCAAAATGTCAAACTTTTCGTTTTCACCGTATGTGAGAAACAAAAGTAGCTAGATTGATTCTGTTTGTGGTATTAAGTTTCACAAAAAAGTAGCACAGGATCACGAAAACCGCAAATCTTTATCTTTAAAAGCAGCTGAAATACACTGCAGTCTCAACGAAAATAGGACACACTGTACATATAGTACCTATGCGCAGCAAATTTGGTGACATAATCACCATTTTTGTGGTCAAGGTAAAAATGGATGTTTTTTTTTGAATTTTCAAAAACTAATTTTGAATTCGTCAGTTTCTTCTAGCTAGAATATATTTGGCCTCGTATCGTAAATACAATTACAGTGGGTACATCCTCTTTCCATCAGTAAAATCACACTTTTAAAGTAAAACAAGTACCGACCACACATACCCATCTGTTGCCAAGCCTACAACCGTTTTTGTGTTGGATTAACCGCAGGATTTGAAACTTGCCAAAGAAAATATATCGACTAAACAATGAACAAAGAAGAAAATGATTAAAATTACTGTCTCCGAAATCTCCTGAAAAGCTTGGAGCCCATGTATTGTCTTAATATTTAAAGAAAAACCATTACTTTTTGGCTCATTTTTTAAGAATCAAAAAAACGCGCTATTGTTTGCGTCTGGACACACTTCTGTGGTTTTGGTTGATGATGTGCTGAATCAGATTATGCCTTGGAATAAAGTAGTTGACGCGCGTGTCTTGTAGTGTGATAGTTTATATTCTGTAAAACCTGGGAGGGGGACAACGGAGTATTTACTTTCAAAACTTATGCCTCTTACAAATGTTGCTTAAAATTGTGACAAACATTGATATATCGAATGATATACAGTGCAATTTTGGTAAGCCACACTTTTATGACCAACTCTGTATAATTAAAATTACTGCAGGCTAGTAGACATTGAAAAACCCAAAAACTTCTGTATAGAACTTTTTTTGTTGTATATTTTTCTGACCTGATAATCGATTGTCCAGAGACTTATCAGCGACCCTGTATAAAAAGTACCATTGAAAACGTAAAATGCGAGGTAAAATGTATCATATGAGAATTAAAAGTTTGGAATTACACATAACCGTGTACAGAAGATAATAAGCTGCAAAAAGTAAAGTTTCCTTCACACGATTTTTTAGTGTGGACAAGTACACGATTATGTAGTGCGCAGCAAACCAGAAATGAGGAAATATCTTGGGAAATCAATTTTTAACATGCCACCAATGGTTTCAGTGCTGACTTATGTACTTGTGCACAAATTCATGTGTAAGAAACTGTACTTTATTACTTATTACTTTTTACACCTTACTTTGCTGTATCTGTACTGTTACATGGAAATTAAAAAACTTAATTTTTACACGTTACTTTTATATAAACCACCTGTTGTATTATGGACTACCTATCAAATCAGTCAATGGATGCAAAAATGTACATCAACAAAAACCTGTTAAAGAACCCCTTAAAATTGATTATGTGCTCAATTTCGTCAACGCTATGCAGCAATAGACAAGCCATGTCCACATATAATCATGTTGCTTACCATTTCTTTGATTTACATCTCTACCATTTCTCTCTGTAATCACAAAATGCATTAAGATATGTTAAACCATGTCCTCAAAACTTACTTGGTGATTTGCGGGTCTTGAAGGAGTTCTGTGGCTGCGCCTTTTTCGATGAAACATTTTCAAAAGTATCGATGTTTTGTTCAATTTCATCTATATTGATAAGTTGCACTAATGTGTCATTTATGTCTTAAATAAAAATAAATTAGATTTATCACAAAATCAAACGCATTAGGCTTACCAAAGGATTCTTTTTGAAATGATGGTCCGATATTCACATTCCTGTAATTCATAACTTTTATGCATATAAAATAATTAGCTTGTGAAAAACTTAGCGATACAACTTTGAAAATGTATCTAACCTTAAAAAACTATAAACATCTGTTATGGTAGTCACGTGCGGTCACGTGGGCGCTTTTGTTTTATTAAATACACGGTGCTTCAAAGCGACATTCCCCTCTAAAAATTTTACGTTTCTTTACTTCAAACATTTTTCACTTTAAAGAGTCCCACTCATGCATTTTAATGTGGCAGTGGCAAACATGTATCGTTTGCACTTCTGTTGAGGCTTTTTAGATGTGCGGGCAAATTCACGATTTAGAACATGTTTTTCATTCATTAGTAACCCGTTTGTAACGATCACGTATTTAGTCAATTTTTAAATAATTTTTTTAGGAACAAAAAAATTGAACATTTCATACATCAACTTTGATCAATTTTTTGGTAGTTATTTTAGGAACTGAAAGTTGTCCTATTTTTGTATTTTTTAAAAGTGTGTAAATGTTAAACATTTTTAAAAAATAAAAGTAACTAAAATAATTTTCGAACATTTCGGAAAAAAAAGAAAAACTGGGTTGAGAGCAAATTTGAGAGACCTTGAGCGGCACTCGCGAGATGAGTCAAAGAATATCTCTAGATTTAATCACGTTAAACATTTACAAGGTGACACTGTGAACGTTTGTGGTGGATATAACAATTAATGAAGCTTTATTTTTGTTTTGTTAAATAAAGTGCACGATAGTATTTTTTTTAACGAGGTTAATCATCGGCGACCTTACATTCTCTTCAGTCTTCAGTGAGTTTAATATGTATTCTGTCTGTGTACCTGTTCATATTAGGAGTGTAGGCGGCAACCAAACCTTGTTCCATTCTATTTTCTTCATGCATTTCACAAATTCTACTATGTACAGTGGACAATATGTATATTATCCAAAACGCAAACGCCTGATACTGCAGAATGTCATTCAATAGATTTCTTTTCCAATGAAGCTAGATTTTTCACAAATAACGTCTTTTCATGTCATTGTAGGTTATCTCAAATTTATCTGTGGTATGCAGTGTAAAAATTGCAACCATCGATGTAAACCGTCCTTTAAGTAATGAGCTTTTTACTGTCGCGGTGACGCGTATACAAACGTGTCTATGGTTTCAAACTGTCAATTGAGTTGAGGTTATGAGTTTATTTTAAATCTTCGATCAGAGTGCGTGATCGTAAGATTTAAATACCCTTTAACACACCAGAAACTTATCGACCGTCTTATAATTTGCATGTATTATTAAATCTAACTATTTTAGCCTTCTTTAATAATTATACATATAACTGTAATCATGTATATTTATAACGTATCGCGAATAAGTCGCCACATATCAAAAGCTTGTAGCGCCTTATTTCAACAAAAGTGGAATTTATTCCCGTTGTTGTCTAATCTGAATAATGTAAAACTTATATCGACTAATAGAGGAAAAGTTAGAGGTATGTACATATAAGAGATGTGATAAAAGGTTATCTATCTAATTTGACTATTTGAATAAATCCTTCATTGTTTTTTGTCTATGTGTATGTTAGTCTAGTCAAAGATGTCAGTCCAAGCAGTATCTCACGCATCTTTTTTATTTATTAATATATTTCTTATTTCACAAGGTCTGAACATAAAACAGAAAAGTTCTTTCGGCCAACTAAAATATTAACACTATTTTTTTTGTATCAGAATGGACGTCGTGGAGGAGTATTATTACCGGATTTGTACCCATAGGTATTTGTTTAGTAGCTGTAATGCAATGGCGTGCTTACAGAAAAATATCCAGTGCGCATTCGGCAAAACAATGGCAGATTTCTTGCTATTGCGCGTTGCCTCTTCGGATTACAAGTAGATGTTGGGGTTGGTTGGCAGGTAATCGATTAGAATTATTTCGCCTCGTAAAAGTATAATTGCAGATAAAGAGATTCCTACATGGATACGCCCATACATTTATGGTTTGTACACTTCTACATTTGGAGTTAATTTGAATGAAGCTGCAAGTGAGGATTTCAAATCTTATTCCAGCATAGGGGACTTCTTTGCCAGGTTTTGTTTCTCGAATGTAATTTAAATTTGTAACATTTTTTTCTTCTTAAGGCCTTTAAAAGAAGGAGTTCGTACTGTAGATCACACCACTTGTTTGGTATCTCCATGTGACGGAACTGTCTTGCACTTTGGCACTGTCAGTTCAGGAAATATAGAGCAGGTGGGCACACATGTTTGACCTACTTTGCATGTTTTGCCTTCATATGTGTGTTATTTTATTAAGAGTGGGCGTTTATCTCCTAGAAATTATTTAGTGTCTGTTAATTATTTTTAATATGTAGTAGTGACCCAATCACCAGTTGTTTGTTCATTGACCTTGTCTTAAATTGATAACTTCCTGCTCATTTATGCTGCACGTTATCATTTAATTTGATTAGTAAATAATTTTAGTAATAACTTCTATTGCCACCTTTAGGTGAAGGGTGTCACATATTCTTTGGAAAACTTTCTAGGGGAAAATAGTTGGAATTCGAGAAATAATGTAGAAGAAGACAGTTATCAAGATTTATTATTGCATAAAGTGTCTCCAAATTCAAAACTTTACCAATGCGTGATATACCTCGCGCCTGGAGACTATCATAGGTAAGATTACAAACTGGAGTGCACATAAGAAACGTTTTGACATCCTTACATAATTTTATCTGCGCCTGTAGGATAACTCACTTATCCCGGTCATTTTAAGTGGGATAAGAACTTAATTACCACACTCAGTGGGATAAGAACTTCATTACCACACTCAGTGGGATAAGCCCTTGTCAAAACAATGTATGATCAAAAATCAACTATCAAGATTATATATTGTAAACATTAACGTCTGATGGAAGAGTTCCAGACTCACTCATGACATAAGCAAAGAAATCAGAAGCACATACTCATGCTCTTACAATAGCTCGGGCTAACGCCCTCGTATGCGCAATTGTCGCATTCGTAAGTTAATGAGGCCGTTATCCCACTGATTAAATAAATAACTATTACATTTGCTTTTTTGTTATAATTTTTATGCATATTATGGTCAACATTTATAACATATAGGATACTACAATAATTATAGTGCTACCGTCAGTCACATAGCCTAATAATCTCTTAAAATTCCCATACAATCCATGCCGCCATGGTTTACGGTTTCAAGATAATAGACGATCTTATTGTCCAGCTTGTGGGGCAGCTGGAACCGGACCAATTGTACTAATCAATTTATTACACAGCTATTCTTTGTCCACAACTGTACTGTATTTAATCACGCAATCAACTCACTGGGTAATAACTTCTTAACAGGAGCTGTCAAACTAATTAATACTTGACGTGACTTGGTACAAAATTTCAACCAAATTGGTCTGCTCCTTACTTACTTATACCCTGCCTATGATTGTGTACACAAGATTATATAAACAGATTGTATCAACAAGAATCAAAATATAATGTAGTGATCTATTGGTCTATTGTATTTAATAAATTGTATGGTTAACTTATGCCAATATTTCTTTTCAAGTTGCTGAAGTAGGTACTAATGATGCATTTTTGCAGGTTTCATTCCCCCACAGATTGGGAACCAACATATAGAAGACATTTTTCCGGTAAACTACTTTCAGTTAATCCGGGAATGGCCAGATGGTTGCCGGGCTTGTTTTGTTTAAATGAACGAGCAATTTACGCGGGAAAATGGATGCATGGGTTTTTCTCAATGGTTGCTGTTGGTATGTATTCAAGGATTATAAATTTCATTCATTAACGTATTAATTGTTGTCTAGGTGCGACAAATGTGGGCTCCATAAAGATTTATTGTGATAAATTGTTAGAAACAAATAAACCAAAGTATAAATCTAAAAATGTAATGGATAAATGTTTAGATAGTAATCTTCGTTTTAAGAAGGGTGATCCGTTTGGAGAATTTAGAATGGGTTCAACTATAGTTATTATATTTGAGGCGCCGTCCAGTTTTCAATTTAAATTGATACCAGGAGAGAAAGTCAAAATGGGACAAGGGATATGCTGTGCTAACAAGGAGAAATATGTTGATCGAGTACAAAAAACAAAAACAAATGCGTTTATTCATGCCACTTAATGCAGGCTATTTGTAAATAAGATATTTATTTTTATAAGTATTAAGTCAATACATGTACTCATTAAGTTTGTTATTTACAATATTTACCTTTCACTTCACTGGTAATGGAATTAGTGATTTGGACTTACTTCGGTGTCGCATTTTTATTAGTTGACAGTTTTTCTCGTCTAATTGCTAGGCAACAGATTTTCATTACCTATACAATAAGTGAAAAATCGTATGGAAAGTGGTACTTTCTTTCACGATTTTTACTATGCGTTTCCATGGAGTTTACTCCTGTCTATGAACAATAGCATCCATTTTTGAGTGACAGTAAATCGCGAATGTCAATAAAATTATTCAATTGTGGGTTATTATGGATCACTATTAGGGATGGGCGATAACTGTTTTCACCTATCGATAAGTATCGGGTACTTACCTATCGATATATTTTACTTATCGATATGCCGATAATTATCGAAATATCGATGGTTATCGATATATCGATAACTATCGAAATATCGTAGTTATCGATATATCGATAGTTATCGATATATCGATAGTTATCGATATGTCGATAGTTATCGATATAACGATAGTTATCGATATTTCGATAGTTATCGATATTTCGATAGTTATCGATATATCGATAGTTATCGATATATGATTACTATCGATAGATATCGATATGTCGATAGTTATCGCTAGGGATGGGCGATAACTGTTTTCACCTATCGATATAAGTATCGGGTACTTACCTATCGATATATTTTACTTATCGATATGCCGATAATTATCAAAATATCGATGGTTATCGATACACCGATAACTATCGAAAGATCGATAACTGCCGCTATATCGATAAGTATCGGTATATCGATAGTTCTCGTTATGGCGATAGTTTTTAATATATAGGTATCGATATAATATTACCGGTAATTTTTTTGAAAGCGTGTCTAAAAACTGCATGAGTTTACTTTTATATTTTGGCGAAAGAGCCCGACAAGACAAGAGGGCTCTTTTAACAAAATATGAAAATAACCCAATGCAGTTGTTGCAACTTTAATGGAGTTACCATATTAAATGTGCAATTATCGCAGGGCTCTTTAGCTTTCTACAATGCAATTACCGCTGTAATTAAGCGGTAATTGCACGCCTCATTCGAGAGAAATATTCGACGTATCGATAGTTATCGACAGGGATAGTTATCTTATCGAGTTTTATTAATAAAATCCATTTTCCGGTTTATTCTCGTGTAAAGTGACTATTAATAGTTACTCGAGTTTCTTTGCTACCTTTATCAAGAGTTTTTTGTTAAATTTCGTAAATGTCAATCAATTGAAACTGTATATCTAATTTTGAAGTGTTCTTAGCTTTTTCTGTTTTTTTGTGACTGGTCCTCTGTAACCATCAATCAGATACCGATACATAGGCCATGATTACACCCTTTGATTGTCTTCTTTATTTTATCTAAAGAGTAGCCAACCATCAATCAGATACCGATACATAGGCCATGATTACACCCTTTGATTGTCTTCTTTTTTTTATCTAAAGAGTAGCCATTTTGATGCAACATTTTGTTCAAGTTTTTGAAGTGCTTCTTTTTTTGAGCAATCGTCAGTAAGACGAAAAGATCTATTTTCTAAAAATTTTATTACTGCGTTTATTTGGCAGGGATGATGATGTGACGTAACGCTTCTCTTGAGAAAGGGAGCAAAGTTAAGTTTCCGAAACGTCGAGCAACTAAAAATAGTAAATTTACACGAGAGTAAACCCGAAAATGGATTTTATTAATAAAAATAGTAGCGCTCGTTGAAATCTCAACAATAACATAATTTTATCGTACCAATAGTTATCGACACATCGATATATCAATAGTTATCGACATATCGATATATCAATAGTTATCGACATATCGATATATCGATAGTTATCGACATATCGATATATCGATAGTTATCGACATATCGATATATCAATAGTTACCGACATATCGATAGATATCGACATATCGATATATCGATAGATATCGACATATCGATTGTAAGAACCATATTTTAGGGTAGTCCTTAATAACGAAAAAGTAAAATGTCAACGCAACCCCTATTTGATAAATGTGGCAAGCTGACTGGTCAAGTATGCGCGATTCTGCACATATGGGTGCAAGGGTCTTAAGGGATCGTGTTAACTGTTAAGGCAGTTAAGTTGCGTACGCGCTCTGGTCACGATCGTATAAGGGATGCTAGGTAGAGCATCGGACGTTAGTGAGTTTGGTGTAATAGCTCTTTATTGTGAGTGTCTCCCACGCGTAGGTGGTGAGTGTCTCCCACGTGTAGGTGGTGAGTGTCTCCCACGTGTAGGTGGTGAGTGTGTTGTGCAGGCCATCGTGCTGGTCGTGCTTTGTTGTTGGGCTATGGTAAAACCCCTGGCAGATATCCGGATATATTCCTAGGCTTTTAGAGTGCATTATGTGCATGTGCCTATGACGCGGTCCCGCGGGTAGCTCCCGTTGATTATACCGCTGAGTGATCTACTCGCTCGAGTAGATCATGGTGTCGACCCAATACGAAACATAAAGGCCTCATTGTTAACACAAACAGTTCGGGGGTGAGCTCGACCTGGATGTCGTTCCCAGGTAGGGCAATGAGTGACATAGATCGACGTTACTGATCTATTGGCCGAGGGTCCTAGTCAGAGGGCCAAGGCGGGATGTGTATCCTAAATAATACACGTGCGCGCGGCGTAACCCTTTCTCAAATAGGTATGAGCTCCATCTTAACCCTTCAGGAAACCATCTCCAACGACGCATTCAACCCCAATCGCCAACCGGAGTGTTCGGAGATCCAGGAGCGCTTAGTGCCAGTTCGGGGCTAACGCCCCCCGGTGAGTTACTTAATTAATTGGCGAGGATTGCGGTTAAGCAGTCGCGATATTTGTTTACATGACCCTTGAGCGCGGGAGACGACCAGTCAGACTGAATGCTGCCATACCAACCCCTTACGCGTAGATTACAGAGGGACGTTTCTAATGAAAGGTGAGTTTACAGTAGATTTGTCGCATCTTAATAATGAGTTCTGACCAACAATTGGCTCCAATTTAATTAGTGACTTCCCTTGTTGACATATAACATACCCCCCCTCTTACACGATATATCAATAGTTATCGACATATCCATATATCGATAGTTATCGACATATCGATAGTTATCGACATATCGATAGTTATCGACATATCGATAGGTATCGATATATCGATACTTATCGATAAGTATCGATATATCGATATATCGATATATTTTTAGCTCTACCTATTGTTATTCGATATATCGATAACTATCGATACCTATCGATATATCGAAAAAAATTCCCATGCCTAATCACTATGCAAAAAAATTTCGTGTACAATACACGTGTTGAAAGTGTCTTTTTTCCATGAATTTGCTTGATTAACTGGGGCTTCGCCCTCATTAATCAAACTGCAAATTCATGAAAAAAAGTATCACTTTCAAAACTAGTTGTAGAGTAGTATATTATTATACGAGTTTAATAAGACGCTGTATTATCACACGAGTTCAATGGAACGAGTGTGATAATACGTCTTATTAAACAAGTGTAATATACTATTTTATCTACTTTGCTTTACTGAATTCTTGGAATTTTGGCTGCTCAACTTACCGTATTAAACTAGGGACTTTTGTGACAGTTGATAACCCTGTATGTTCAAAGTAACACACTGATCTAGTAGCAGTGAAACAAATTCAAATAATCTGTCATTTAATTTGGATGTAAATTTTTTGAAATGGAACACATTACTGTATGTAAACACAACCACGCACCATTCGTACACTTCACTCAGACTTCTATTCGTTTCATGCAGGTTTTCACATTGACCCTATTCCACCTACCGGACTATCCTACTGTCTGATCTGATGGCTCTGGGTAAGTATATTTGATGGCCAAGGACTATCCTCTCAAAATCATAACCACAGAGGAAGTGGCTGAAGCTTTTGTCACCTGTTGGCTATCACGGTTAAATTCCCATTACCTATCAGGGACGTTTTTTGTACCCTCAACATTGTTTTCGGCAATGATTCCACACCTGCAGTTACCACTTAGCAGCCAAAGGCCTAGTGGAACAAATTGATTGCTAACTCAAAGCAATGTTCCTGTGCAGCCCAATGCGTCCTGGCTCGAGGTGCTCCCTATCGTTCTGCTTGGAATCTGTAGCATTTTCACGGAGAACTTTCAAGCTTCCTCAGCCAAGTTTGTTTACGGTTACACCCTTCAACCTCGATGGGAAACCTTGTAACGATTTAGAAACTTAAATTAATTGCAATTGACTATAGGGATTATACCTTGAATATAACATGAAATCGGATAAGTTCGCATCAGCTATAATACAAAGTGGTACATTACTAATGTTCAAAGAAACACAATTAAATTAAAGACATTTACTGATTTTAAAATGAAAGTAACATTGTAGAGTTGGAAATCTTTTAGGTGTTAAGTGACCCCCATCGTGCTTGCGTGCATCCAAATCGATGCACTCATAACGGTTAAAACGACGAGAACACAGCCTTCTTTTTACATCCTCGAATTCCGATAGTGCACATGCTTGCAGCCACCATTCTTGTTACTTTTTTACTTGGGAATCTAAAAGCAAGTATGGCATAAATGAATTGCAGATAATTGCATTTACTTACTGGTGCCATGTAACCGAAGAATCCACTTTCCCACAAGTACCTGCATTCTTTATTTCTAAGTAATAAACACACTAAAATTGCCAAACATTAGGTATTTCTTTACAATTATTGTGGATCACTTACGTACACTGATTTATATAACTAGGAAAGTCTTCTTTACTATTAAACTTACACAAAAGTTCAATAATTTATTATCAAAACATACAATTTAACCTCAATCACTGACGTTTGACATTGACATATTCTGTGCCGCGACGGATGTTACCAATATACGACAAATAAAAATCACCAAAAACACGTTAATAATAGGGTGTTTTCATATTTTTTAAAAACTGGGCAAAACGAAAGCCCATTGGCCGTATAAACGAGCTACACATTTTAAAAAAATATCCGAGCCTTCATTTTCGAGTAATTTCAAAATAAAATTCGAAATCAGAAATTTGCCGCGTAAACGGACAGCCACGCGTTTGTACGGTCACCTGCTCTCAACTACGTCACAGTGCATGTAAACACTGGAAGTGTCATTATAAACAGCACGCGTTCTACGGTTTTGATTTGTTTTCTGCCGTGAATTTATGTTTATATAGATTGTTTTTATTACTATCAAAGACTACCTAACATTGTGCATGTTTAAAAAAGTATGGCGCACAAAATAAATGGTGTTTTGTGCCATGTTGTACAAGTACATCGGTGAGTACGCCAAACAAAATATTTATTTCTGTACCACTTGAGTATTCTCGCAGAAGAAATTGGTTTAAAGCAGCTAGAAGAGATATGCCAAAATCAAAACCAACGTTTTACTGCTGCGAAGATCACAGAGGATTTTTTAAGAAGTATTAAGTACTGGGGCAAATTGAAAATAAAATTAATCGGAGGGGGGGGGGGGTTAAAAAAATTAAGAATTTCTTTAAATGAATGTATTTCAGTAATGTGCTTAGAAACCTGCTCTTTATAAAATTTTCTAATGAATTTTCTGTCGGAATATGTCTCTTTGGAAGGTTCCCTGTAACGCCTATCCTTCGGTTCGCAATGTGCAAAACTACAGTCAAAAGATCTGATTGACGATGTCGAAGTCCGGCAGCCGAGGGAATATGTACTGTTAAAATCATGGGATTTAATTTATGCACTAAACATCCGTTGTGACAAATTCATTGTACAAATGAAACCTGAAACTGCAGATTAGTGCGGTAATTTAGTTCTTAGTTATTACTGCTGACAGGTCCCTTTAATAATGCTTTAAAGTTTAAAGCGTGATAGCCGACAAAATCCTCGAAAAAATAAGTTGGTTGTAGGTAGGTAAGTACCTAGAAGTAGTAAAATAAAATAGATAAACACATTTCTGAATTCATCAGCTGCATTAAAACGATCATCTTCTTTTATAAATTCCATCACCATAAAAATGTCTACGGATGGCAAATTGTTTGAGGACACTTTCACAAAGTTCTCTGAAGACATTTCAAGTTTATAACCCACGAAACAATCCCGCAATATAATTTAAACACACGACACAACACTATATCTACCAAGGTGAAAAGGTAAACAATCCGCCATTTATATACGGTGAGACGTCACATCGCATTGACCAATGACATTGCGTTTAGATTTCCCTTTGAAATTGTTGGTTTTAATCAGAGACATGTCTCTGGTTTTAATGAGTTTTCTAAGTCTTATTGCTTTATAAAAACTTAAATATATCGTTTTTTAATGAGCGCATACCGTTACGCTCACCTTTATGTATAAAATACAGTACAAATTAGGTTAGTACGAATATATTGAAAACACCCTATAGCCTTCATAATTAAACTGTTTTTGATATAATAATGAGTCGATTAGTAACGCTAGTCCTATCCCTATACTTTAATTGATATATTAAACATTTGTTACCTGTACTTGGCCATTTCGATACAGATTTTTCATTAAGATACTGAACTTTGTACGATAAACTCCCTCTAATTGAGTTAACAGAGCATCTGGTCGAGTCAGTTTACGACCAATAGAAATGCAGCATCACGGGAACCACGGACTGCTGATCAAACAGTTGCATAGAGGTAGAAATGGCCCTAGCATGGGTGTGGCCCAAGGATGCTATATAAAAACGGCCTAAATGGCTAGTTTTGGTATTCGGAGAAAAATTTCTTAGTAAAGTAGAACCTCTTACGCATCGCTCCTTGTTGCGCGAACGCTGCTGACTATCTTTCCCTCTCCGTCTCATTCGCGACACTCGACTCGGCGAGGGCGGTAGGTTTTTACTCTTAAATGACCGTAACTTTTTTATTATGAAAAATTCCCGGTAATGTTACAGAAAATAAAATAATCACAATGCTGTAATGTTCCTAGGGGTCCTCAGGAGTTGCTGGAAATATTGACTTACCCTAACTCTAACTTTAGCTGTCAAAATGTCGGAAGTTCGCGCCATTCAGATCTCGGTAATATTCGACTTGGACGAATTTGTACGAATGGACTCCTACGTTGTCATTTTCCTATGGCGGTCTTTTATGCGTTTGTACGTGAGACACAATCGGGAAGGGAATTAAATAAAAGAAAGAATTTTTGTGCGTCCGAAAGGGAAAGAGAAAATGAAATTTATTACGCACGGGGCTTGGTTCAGCAGAGCAAATCCAAACCGAAAAGCCAGGAAAAAAGAACCAGCAATAAAAAAAACCTGGCTAAACACAAATACAAGAAATAAATCAATTACAGGTAGCAATGTACAAACAGAAATACGAAAATCAAACATCTCAAATCGTACAACAAAAATCAAGTAATAAAGGCAAATGTGCCTAGAACAAATTAATCAAAAACGATAGATACACTTGACATAATTACAAATTGTGAACAAAATAAATCATTGGGGTATAAAAACACTACCTGAAAAAAAACCATCAAGAGTTCATTTTAAACCACGTAGAGCAGGCATGTCCTTGTCCCGACCTTGCTTATCATTCATTTATTACGTAACAAGTGCAAGTGCACCTGAGAATGCCAACACGGGTATTCAAGCGGAAGCAGACCACACCACATACAAAAATCCACATTTTAAACAGAAGAGAAATTAATCAGAGGGCCCCCCTTTCTCGCTAATGCGAGACGCTAAGAACTGCAGCCTGCGCGAGAAGAAAAAAATAAACATATATTATACAGCGACAGAGCAAACTGCATGTGGTTCTTCTCTTCCACGGAAATAAATTATTAATCCAAACATTCAGGGCAGTAACATTCTAGCAATCCACTCCCGCGTAAACACATTCAAATAATCATGGGAAACATTGCGGCATAATCAGGCGCACAAGGAGCCCAGCTAAAACATGACTCATTTAACGCTAAACTCAAACAATAGCCGCCCACGCCATGCCTGCAATCAGCAGAGGTCAAATCTAAAGAAAAAGTCAAAACGAAAACAAATAAGGCATGAAATTTAAACATCGAATTTAAAATAGCTTAAATAAAACGAGTACTACCTTGATATCGCTTGGAAAAAATATATCAAACACTAACTAAACTTTGAAAAGCACACAAAACCGCTACTCCACCATCAAAATCTGGACCACCAGTGCTCCCGCCGACGCCACTCTCCAGCTTTCTGTACTAAATTCACGTCTGCGCAAAGCGGGATTCTAAAATTCCTTTAGTTGTAAGATGTGTTGCCTATCGGTAGGGGTTCAACATCACAATGCTGAGAAAATAAATACTTTCGGTGGTCTACATAGTCGCGCGCGTGAAAATGAGTAAAGTTCAACTTTAGCGGCGTATAACTTTTGTCAGGACCACGGGAAAATGTCGTAAAGCGAGATTCTGAAGGTTCAAGCATTTCTGAACAAAATGGTGGGGGTCCCAATTCTTTCTACTCCGAAAAAAAATTTTGGACGATTTCGCGGGTCTCTCCGCTGCACTACAAATGAAAACGTTGATAATAGCTCTTAAAAAATATTTAAAAAAATCGCGAACATTTGATAACTCCGTAAAAAAACAATTCTTGGTCGGTTTTTTCACTTTCTACAGATATAACTAGGTTACGGTTGGATGAATGAAGCTGATTTTTTTTACAGACTAATGGTAGGTACTGCCATTGAATTGTAATTTGCACTGCCAATGACTTGATGGTGTTCCTTTTTTAAATTTTTTCTCTAATTACAAGTTATTTTATAATAATAAGATTATAGCTTACTTACTAGCAAGCTGTGATAATAGTGTGTATAATCAATGCCCGAAGGCATGGTTGGCGGTGGATAAAGCAAATAAATGGGTTCTTCTTCTTTACTACGATAAACAATATAAAACTTGTTTCATATACAGTGATATTAATGTAGAAGTAGACATAGGGATTTCCTATGTCTACTTTTACATGATAAAAGTCTCCTGAAAGACGCCTAATTTTATGCAACCAAAGTAACTATACCTACAACAAATGAGAATCTGCTTGTCATAGTAATTAATTTGAATTATTATCGCTTTGACTTCCCTATTCTAATTTCGGTTCGTGTGCGATGTATTCAACTAAAGCAAAAGTTGATATTTTCAATTGGTATAGTGCCGAGAACAGTTAAAGGAGCTTAAGAGATTTATTTTCTGTGAAGCCAAAGCAACAATATTCAAATTAATAATTAATATGACAGCCAGATCTTTACTTGTTTCAAGAAGTTATTTTGTTGCATAAAATTAGGCGTCTTTCAGGAGACTTTTTATCATGTAAAAGTTAATTGCACAACACACACACACAGTAAGATCTGAAGCTCCATGATACAATCAAACAGTATTCGAGTAAAATGATACGATATATTATGTGCTGTAGATATTGATGTGTATACGATGCTCTTGAAAAATGCCTTCGATCATTTTTCGCAGCCGCCGGAATAGGGCTAGCTTGGAGGTAAAGCAAAACAGAAAGCCGAGGTCATGTTGTAGTACCAAATGCCAAGAGTATATACGTTATATAATCTTTGGTGGTACTTATAGTACACATATCAAGATCTTTGCGATCAAAAATGAGTTGCTGTCGAGTCACCTTTGGAATTTTTGTTTATATGGGAAATCGTCTTAGACCATATAGTATATACTACATGGACTGCTAATTGTAACTAAAATATGGTCAAGGACATTGCCTGGGTATGTGCGTTTCAGGGTAAACGAGTCTGTCCGAAATTGTCCGATGAGACACGATTTGAGGCTGTCAACCTATAAATTAACAAATGTCAATTAATTAATTGCCCAGATATGGCAAAAAAAGCAAACCTATTCTTATTTGTGGACGTATAGAAGATAATCAAGTGTATTTAAAGCTTCTCGTACTACGCGGTTACCATAAAAGCTACTCTTTACGCGATCCGAGTGGTGTTCATACGATTTTAGTTTAGATTCACATACCCACGACTACAGTGCCCTCTATCCGTGACCAACCATTTTGTATTGAAAGCATAGGGCTAATAGCAGTCCATGTATTATATGGTCTAAGGAAATCGTATTTAACATGAACTTCCATAGGCGACTAGACGGCAACTGATTTTTGATCGCCCGTTATAGACAAACAACAAGATACCAAATGCAAGGTAAGAGTATTTTCTTCAATTTTGGTGTCTTGCAGTTATAAACTGTTATTAAAGTTAGGAAAAGCATTTTTTTTTTCAATTTAACGAAAATGCGTTTTTTCAAAATAATTCTGTTTCTATGAGGAAATGAGGTTTTTATAGACACTATTTTGTTGCATTTGAGAAAATAAAGAAAGTGAACGTAAATTCAAAACTCTGTCTTTCATAGTACATACCACACCACCATACTGCACAGTGCACACACCCTTTAAATGGGGGCAGGGAGTGAAGGACACGCAATTGAAGGTTGTCAAGAAATTTCTTTTTCTTACAAATGACAATACCACAAGCAAATAATTTCAACATTTAAGCAACAGATATATAACAATGTTATAGCTCTTCTAATCTATTCTGTAATCGTACGAATAAGTCTCGGTCGTGCGAGTCGATCGGTACGGGATACGGCTTGAAATGAGACCTTTAAGTTCACTGGTAGATTTAGTTAAAAGTTTCAAACCACTTAAAAATGTTGCATCCATATAGTAACACTTTTTTGAAGTCACGTTATCGCCTTTGTTCGTGGTCGTATCGGCGATATGTGTGATTTCCCAGTCAAAAACATGGTCTACCAAATCCACTTCCTGAAAAAAATAATTTGGTTACCAAAACTCTCCGTATGCCGTTTTACCTTCTTATTACCTACAGTTAGGTACGTATTAGATAAAGGATGGATAAGTTTAATTTAATTAAAAGCAAAATTGCTGTGTATCTGTATTTGAGAAGTCTCTTATAAGCAATTTACAATTTAATGTTCACTTTTTCAAATGTAGTCATTTTGATAGTTGCGAATACTTCCTCGGAAATTTGACTAAAGTAACCGTGACGGGTAATGGCGTTTTATCAAACCTTTGCAAGTTTCTAGTTAGTCTTAATCTGGGAAATAAAGGTATCTTATTATTTTGAGAACTTTTCGCCGCTAGTTCGTCAATTGTTAAATTCGAATGAACTTTGTCGGGATGTTTTACTATCACTCGAATCGGTTTTTTGGCATTGGGCAAGACATTTTTGTTAACTAAGGTTTGTCGTAAATTTGCAAGATGTCGTGCGGTTTCTGACCACCAACGACGAGTCTGAGGCACCTTAGAAGCTGAAGACTGATCCTGCTCCTTCTGGTTTTTTGGACAAGGGGGTATGCTGCTTTGGCTAGGTTTAAACTGCCTTATTGAGGCCTGGGTAGGTGCCGATATTCGATCAATCTGAAATTATTACACAATTCAAAGTTACCTATATAGCGGTATTCCAATAAAAAATACCGGGATTTGTTTTGGTTTCCGTTTCACTTTTGAGACTGGCGGTGAAGCAGCGCGTTTCTCCGGTTTTTTGGTTTTTGAAGAGCGTCCTTTAGAACGATTTAGTGAAGCCGAGGAAGTGCCAAACAGTCCTCTCGTCTCTGCCATTTGAATCATGTATTTGTTATCCAACTTAATAAATTCCTAAACATAATCCAGACATATAATAAATTAGTAGGTAGTAGTAGTTAATATAAAGCATGTACAGATGTAGTAGTGGGGTTAATACATTTTCGGGATTATAATTCGCTCTTAGCCCCTAGTCTAACTGACCAAACAGAATGGCAGGTAGCACAATTTGGCGAAACTGTAAAAAGTTCTCTTTCTACTGTAACACAGACACATCGGGCCGTATGAATAAAAGTAAGCAAATGCTTATACTTGCAAAATTCAAAGTAAATACTCGTAACTGCCCCTTCATACTGGTCTGTTTAGCATGGTTTAGCAGCGCTGCACTGCGTCCTGTCCTTCTGCTTAGAAGCGCTGCTAAGTCGCCCAGTGCGAAGGAGCATTTACGAGTATTTACTTTGAATTTTTCAAGTATAAGCATTTGCTTACTTTTATTCATACGGGCCATCGTCTTGATGGATGAAGTATAATTATTTGGGATTAGTTCATTTTTGTGCCCTTTCACAGAAATAAGTTTTATTGTAAGCAATTGTGCTTTACTTATAGCAAAGAGGGGTACAATGTACACAACGTGCAGGGTTCTCTCAATAAAGGACTGATTTCTTCACAATTTTGTTGCGCAATTATAGTAATTATACCTGTTTGCGAAAATTATATCGCAAAATGCAGTGAATGAAACATACAACTTTGAATCAACCAATTAATTATGATATTAGTTATTTATGTATTAAGGGTATAATAGTGATGTTTATATTCTCGAGGGCCTATGGCCCGAGAGCTTTTTAGTCGCCCGAGAGTATAAACATCAGTTTATGCCCGTGGTACATACACAATTTTATGTTTTACAAATAGTTTTCTTCGTCAAAATTCGTTTACAAAATAATTCATTATGTTTGATCAAGTATGCGTCGTTGGAATTTGTTAATGTGATTGAAACCATCCAAATGTCAAACGTAATTTTAAATAATTCAATTCATCGTGAATGAGCAAGAAGTTCCAGAAACTATACGAAATAAGGCAAATCTTGTGATTTAGTAGGTATTGACAATTAATAATTGACATTTCTAATTTTCAATGACCTGCAAATATTTGTTTGTTTTGTCATTAAGTATAAATGAGTTACTATGGTGATACTTAATGCCCTAGGGCATAAAGTGGTACTTTATGCCCGCGTATCACAGATATAAAATGTGCTATGATAGGTTAGTAAGACATAAAATCAATTATGAATCAATACTACATAATTACTACCTAAAGCCCTTTATATAAGTTAAATGTGCATATTTTAAACATTTTTTTCGTTTCATTTATTTAAAAGAACATTTATTAGAAACTCATACTAAAATTGAATGAGCAAGGTACATTTTTGGTGAAAATAAAATATTGTCTTGTTAAAAAAAGTGGTAAACGCAGAAGAGTAGGTAAGTACTTCTTGAACTCGAAAAACACTGGTTGAAACCTGCAAAATAACTTACTGACCAACTCCGCTGAATTAGGTACGCATTTTTGTGTCATTTTTTCTGCCTCACGGTGGGGGCGGCCCCCCCCCCCTTTAATCCGTCACTGCGTTACTGCACTTGAAACGGCAACTACAGATTCGTACCTACATACATATGGGGTTACAATGGTGACAATGCCGAAGATCGAATGTAGCCTTGACAGGTGGGACTGGTGCATCGTGTCTCGTGTGGAATATGCTGGAGGTGGTATTCCAAGGAATCTGAGTGTAAATATTGGTCTGTTGCTTTAACCCCAGAGAAACCCCGCAACCGATTGGTAAGTACCGCCCTCCAGTTAGCGTTGTGAGATGCAACAGTTTTAAGATGGGATCAGTGTAACGAATATTCCAGAAATCTCGATAAACATATGAAGGCGCCAGGAAAGATTAGTCATCGGCGATAAAGAACAAAGGCGAATGTGACGTAATATTTCCCAGAAATATGACGTGTTTGTTCGAGAACATTTCAGAAAAAACTCGAAAGCGTTCGGCAACTATCGAGAAAGGGGTGGTTAGCTATATAAGAAAATCGAATAGCGTTTCAGTTAGTCTTAGTTCGAATTACAACGTCGAAGTAATAACTAATAAGTAATTGTGGGTGATAAGTTTTAATATATAAAGCACGTAATTAAATTTACGTTACATCATTCTTAGACCCTTAAATTTATTTAGTAAGATTATACAAATTTTTGTAACAACTTCCAAATACAAACGATCTGATCCAGAACTTATATTGGTCGTCTGTTATTAGTTATTACAATTTACAATGTGAGCAATTGATCATTCCAAATAGGAGCTCTTTTACACGGCGATATTGCATGTACCCGAGATACAGTGTGTCGTTAGAATTCATGTGAAATACTCAAAGTGGCAAAATCTCTGGGCGACTGGGGCTAGCGAGAGAATAAAATTTAGTCGCCGATATTGTCTGCGAGAAGTATGCGTGTGTGAATGGCTCCTAACACGCAATGTAATGCTATGTTTCCACACGCGGCAAGCAGCTTGGCAAGCATCTCGGTAAGCTGCTCGGCGAATCACCGCGTACAAAGCGAGCTGTTTACACGCATCCGAGCACAACTCAGAACAAGCTCACAACCAAACATGGCGGACGTAGATGTTATTGAAGCTGTTCCGTTCGGTTTGAAATACGTACTTTTATTGGAAAAAACAACAACAACGAATTGAAAAGAGACGAAGAGCTCGGAGAAGGTGGTGGATGATAAAAATTTATAGAAATCGCACCAAGCCCGCCCACGCATGTAAACAGGTACACGAGCGCAAACAGATTCACCCTTTGATCTTTGTCGAAAAACCGACACTAGTTCGGATCGGTGACGAGCACAAGCAAAAGCAGGCAAACAGAGGCGGGCAGATGCGAGCAACCCATTTACATGCTCGTGCTCGTGATCGTGCCCGTTGAATGTCGCTTTGAACGGAAGCGTGGAAACGTAGCATTACAAGTGTGTCCGAGATACCAGTCTGCGGCTTTGCGGGCAGCTGTATCGTTGGTTATCTGTGACCCCGAGTCTGTGACAGTATCCCGTATCACTGTGTAAAAGCGATCTAAGTGTGGTGTCGCACTATGCGTTTTTACCGCTCCTGCTAAAACGGTTGCGGTTTGACAGCATATGATGCGGTTGCATCCTGTTGGTGCGGCGAAACCGCATATATGTGACTGGCACTGGTACCATTTTATAACGTGTGATATTATCATCCCGCCAAACAGGAGCGTTTTAGCAGGAGCGGTAAAAACGCATAGTGTGACACCACACTAAGGTAGTCAAGATGTCAGTAAATGCTATATCCAGGTGCTTCAAGTATGAATGGGACTAATCTTATTTTACAAATGTTTAGGGGTTTTACAGCAAGTCTCTAGGTTCTACATATTACTACTGACATTCATACGAGTTTCACATGTTACGAACGCGCCTATCGCCTTGAATAAAATGGATTTACCTACCTTTCTTTGAATTAATGCAAGATAGCAGCCTTCGTTAGCTGGATCGATAAATACATCGACGTCTGATGAAAGACTTGGGAGGCTTGGTTTGTCAAATATATCACAGTTAGGCACCTAAATTGTTAGGTCAATAGCAAAAACAAGTTTATCCACATCACATACCACAACGTCTTCGTACACCTTTTCAAAGTCTTCGAACACTTCGGCGGATGCTTTAGAAATAATCGATGGCCTTTTGGATGTACCGCTTGGTAAACTATCTTCTGAAGGGAAAATTTCAAGTTTCAGCGCTTCGTTATTATTTATTTCCTAACAGTATGGGTAACCATTAAGTGGTATCTACGTTTCTTTCACATACCTGCATCAGCAGATCAGTGTAGGAAGGGTCGATTTTTAATTTTCCTTGCAGCGCCGCGTGCTTTAACGTTGTGAGTTTATTGATTTCTTTCATAGATTTTTTAACCATTTCATCGTTTTCAACATCAAGTTCAGAATGCGTCTCGTACAATACTAGTTGAATCTGAAAAATGCTAATGATGAGTAAAAACCTAAGACGTTTACTTCTTACTTGCGGTCGCGACATGGCGTATTTTAACGTTCTTCTTTGCTCTTCTAGAATGGATGCGACTCTTTGCTTACCCTCCTCTGTAATTTCCGATTCAGTTAGAATTTCTAACATTGCAAGATCGCCACCTCGACTGCAGACCTATATTTGAATTGTCATTAATGTGTAATTACTAAAAATTAATAATATAACCAAATCGATAGGGTCGCTGATTGCTGAATAACTATTTGGTGGTGTTGCAAAAACGGCAATTACTTTCTCTAAAAAGGTAGATTCAGGTGGTATGTCAGTTAGTCGTTCGGAATAAATTAGCACGTTCTTAATGCCGATTTCCTGCAAGTAATTGCCATATTCCTCTTTTCTGAAAAAGCGTCGGTTTACAAGGTATGAACCTATATGGCTTTTAGAATGATTACCTCGATCCTGCTCCAAAAACAAGCAAATTATTAATTTTTGCATTTTTAGATAAAAGCATTGCAAGGTATGCCGTTGTCCGAGGAGAATTAACGTGACTTTGTATTACAGTTCCAGTAAGTTCCAATTCGCTTACAACTTTCCCAAAAGTAGCGGGTCCAAGGCAAAACGATCTGTCCTAGACAAAACACACGTTTATATACCTAACGTGAGGAACAGCAAGAACCTTTCTATTTTAAATCTGTTTCAGGCACTTATAAATACGGAACTAAATTATGAAAGAGCAATGCCATACATTTTTAACGTCCAAGATATTTAAAAACGTGAATTTGTATTCACTGCGCTCAGTTTTGATTAACGTAGGTATCTCCTTTACCTTAAAAGTCGCATTTTTTTGAAATTTAGGTACACTAGGTCACTATAAAATCGAGTGAAGGGGGATAGACAATTTCAAAGGTAGTATTATCATTTCATGAATATTTCAGCTAAAGGACAAGAAGCTTATGGCCACAATATGGAGTTAGCCTAAGGCTTAAGCTGGTGGTCATCAACTCGGAGATGTGGTTTGGTTGCATCGCCACGATAGATGACGCGACGCGGGCTATCATCGTAATTGCAAAGGATCGTATATACAGTCGTCAAGAGAATAAATGACTTAATACATCAGATACGTAAACTAGTACGCGTAAAAAGTTTACCGAAAACTTAAGCTTGAGCGAGTTTATGAGTCGATGGGCTCAAAACTTCAAATTCTGATATCTAGAAAGCAAGTTATAGGAAAACTCGAAAAGTTCTGGACAAGATATATCTGCTGGTTGGATTGCAAAAAAAGTTATTGCCGTCGGATAGCTCAATTTAACGGATATTTTAAACAAATAGAAATAAATTGGCGCACTTCTGCTTCAGACCACTTGATTGCAAATAAAAACAAAAAAATCTAAATTTAGTAAGATTCACATAACTATATTAAAACAACTAAATTCTTCCTTCTAGTACATCCTTTGTAATAATAACAAAATAAATGTTAATTCTACACTAAAATCAAGTATAATTATATACAATTGGATATACTTTTAGTTTTTTTTCAAACCGGTTAAAGTGAATGGGCCAATCGTCTTCTTTACTAATATTTAAAATCCGATTCCCTTAAAGGAATTGATTTATTCCTATTTTGAATACAAAAATCTGGTTACCTTATCTATTCAAGAATATAATGGTGTTCCATGGCCGTCCAAACCCGAAGTATTAATTGATCCACTACGCTGATGTAAAATGATTGATTCGAAAAATTGAAAAGTGCAGAACATTCTATATAAAATCCTAGGTCTCGTATAATGAATGGCTACTTTGATTTGGAGTTGAAACACAGTCACTCGAAAATTTGGTGATCCGACTGTTCAGAGCGGGAGCTCCGACCGTCGCGTCGCATCGCGATTGACGTTTGATAGTAGAAGCTTCACACATTGAGATTTAACGCGGCGTTGGTCGCTCTCACCTTGAATGTTTACGCTTTATCATATTAGATTATTTTACGGTCGTCGCATAGAGACGCTAACGTAAACGCACGAAGCTATCGCTTATTAGAATACTCACACCAATATATTAAAAAAAAGCACCCTGCTATAAATTACAGGAGGTCAACTTAACCGCACTTTTACTTAAGAAAAATAAAATGTGAACTTTTACGCTCCTTATCTGTCTGTCTGTATGTCTGTCTGAGTCACAAAGGTTCCGGAACTAGAACTACACCACTTACAGACTTGGTATTGGTGTCATTCGATCAGATGTGAAAAATTATTTCATGTTTAATGTCCCTAAGGGCTATTAAAATTGAAAAAAAACAAATTTGAGAGTGCACTCTTCGCCTCTACCTTGCAAGTGGCTTAACGAATTTTTATTAATTTTTGTAGATCTCCCTAAATTTGGAGTAGATATGGCATGACATCTAAACCGACGGGTTTTTCAATTATGTGAGTTTCATCAGCATTTTTGGAAAATGCACAATGTATAATTAAATCAGCTCATTAAGCTCAACATTTACTTAAGTGATTACCCTCGTGATTACCTTTGCGACTCAGACAGACAGACAGATAAACATCAAGAGTGCAAAACTGCACTTTTTATTTTTTGAAAGTAAAGGTGCACTAAAAATGTATACTCAAAATACATGTCAGGGTACCCAATTTTGGAAATGTACAAACTTAATTTTTTTCAATGGAAAGTCCTTCTTTTCTCTTCAGCAATGGATCTAAAACGACGGTTTATGTAATAAGTGAAACAATTTGGGAATCCATTGGAACTATATACAAGAACAATATTTTAGGATGGTCCTTAATAATAAAAAAAATTATCAAAGTCCGCGTTTGAGATCGAAGGGACTTCAGCGCATTTTTGTGTGGCAGATCAGTATTCTATTAGCCACTTTCGACTCAACCATCAATAACAGATCTTGTCAAAGGCTACTACATTCACTAACCGCTTCCCACTTTCCGCGTGCACCCGCAATTCGCTTTTAAAGTTTTGACTCCACCATCAGTAAGATCGTGTCGGGGGCTACCACATTCCCTTTGACGGTACCCCCTTCCGACGTCCCGTTTACCCGCAATTCGTGTTTGAAGATTCGACTCCACCATCAGGAAGATCGTGTCGGGGGCTACCACATTCCCTTTGACGGTACCCACTTCCGACGTTCGGTTCACCCGCAATTCGCGTTTGAAGATTTGACTCCACCATCAGGAAGATCGTGTCGGGGGCTACCACATTTCCTTTGACGGTACCCCCTTCCGACGTTCGGTTCACCCGCAATTCGCGTTTGAAGATTTGACTCCACCATCAGGAAGATCGTGTCGGGGGCTACCACATTTCCTTTGACGGTACCCCCTTCCGACGTCCCGTTCACCCGTAATTCGCGATTGAAGATTTGACTCCACCATCAGTGAGATCGTGTCGCGGGCTACCACATTCCCTTTTACGGTACCCACTTCCGACGTCCCGTTCACTCGCAATTCACTTCTATTGGCGACACGAGAAAGAGAGACAGCGATTCGAGATTTACGAAACGTTAAACCGCGTGAGTTCGCAACGGAAGGTAAAAGGCGCCCGAAGTTGACTACTTCTCGAAGACGCGCGCGCGCGCCTCGCAAAAGATCGTTAATTTCGCCCCTAGGACAAAAAACAAAATTCCGCCACGCAGGAGTTGTGCGCGTTTACAACATCTTTCCGACGACACCAATTTGAAAAGAATCGGACCAAAACTGTAGTAGAAGATAGGAAAAAACTGAAAAACTTTCACGTTAGTATACTACGCTCGAGGATGACGCCCAGATGTCGCCAACCCCACATCATGTAGCCATGTCCCTAAGGTTGACAAATTTCACGGCCCTGTAGATACACGTACACCCGTTGCCTTTCTACAAGAGTTCTTCTACTTGCCCACATTTGCTGCCAGCCAGCCAGCCAGCCAAAGTGAGATTAAAAGCTACTTTTAACAAATAAATTTGCAAAAATGCGCTAAAAATCAAAACTTGCAAAAAACGTCCATTTAGACATTACAGAAATACCCATAAAATAAAATTTTGATAGCGTGGTTAGATTATTTAAAACATCCGAAGCAAATACAAAATAAATGAATTTTGCACATTTCAAATTCATTTATCAGATATTGGGCGTTTGCATAATAATTGTTGCATGAGTAACGATTTTGACAGCTTTTGGGTAAAACCATCATGACCATTTAAGACCAAAATTGCTGCTGTATTCCTTAGATGCTTGTATGCCAATTTCCAGCTCATTTGATGACTATAGTTTTGGGCAAAACTTATAAATAAAAATTGAACTGCTTTGATTGAAATGCATGTGAAAGCCATTAGTTCATGGCATTTGAGTAATGTTTCTCGACGTTTCCAAACAAAATAGGTGTGTAAATGACGACTTACGCGTCTTGATAGAAACGCAACAAAGCAACGAGACAATGTGTTATACGTAAATATTAGCACAGATTTAGTATATTTAAATCTGTGATATTAGGTTTTAGTAGCTCTCTTGGCCAAAATACACGTAGCCCAACAGCGGATGCACAGACACAAATATAAAATTGGAGATATTTATAAATATACCTATCTATCGCCGCCCTTAGTAATATTCGCAGTGACGACGGTTAAAAACTTTTGTCGCAATTATTAAGGGGGCTAGGGATAGAGTCACTGAAATTTGCAATAAAGTCAAAACTTTTGAGTAATTTTTGAAGCCCAAATATTAATTCTAACTAGAGGTCTTATCGGAAATTGATAGAGATATAGAAAGTCATTCAATGTAGCGATTTATTTTTTTGATAAAATTATTTAAGTCGTGTATAAATGATAATATTGAATTTACTAAGAACGCGAATACTGGCCTTAGTAAAAAAAATATTTAAAAAGTAAATGCGCACAATTTATTTAGTAACTAAGTGGATTAAAAAAATATATTACGAACTGCTTCAAATTATGAAATAAAACGTAATTTTTACTCAAAAGTTTATATAAAATATAGCGACGGAAGAAATGCAATACCTTCCATACAATGACGATAGGCAACTCAGGTAGCACTTTTACCTGGAAAATATTAACACCTAATGACCATTATACTTATATACAATGGTTTATGACCCTCTGGATTCTGGATTACGATAGGAGGGTGAACAGTGTCCACGCGTACTTAGGCCTCAAATTCGGGCCCTTTGTACTACCTCCCTGACTAGGGTCGCCCGACCCCTCAGCATCACTCAAGCCATCCCACACGTGAGATGAACCTTAGGACGCTGGAAGGGGAGGCGGCTCTAATCGTAGCCATGTCCGGCCAGGATTCCCCCAACATGGATCGTCTCAGTTGGACTAGAGCGGGACATTCACAGAGTATGTGGTATGCCGTCTCGTCGTCTGTGTAACATCCTCTACAAGATGGTGATTCCACCAAACCCATGCAGTGCATGTGCTTGTTTAGTTTACAGTGCCCAGAAAGAATGCCCACGAGTAACCTCAGGTTCTTCCTTGATAGCCCTGTACAAAAACGCGCCAAGCTACGAGATGGTCCTCGTAGCTTGGCGCGTTTTTGTACAGGGCTATCAAGGAAGAACCTGAGGTTACTCGTGGGCATACTTTCTGGGCACTGTAAACTAAACAAGCACATGCACTGGTTTATGACCCTATTAGACCAGTAACAAAAGAATCTCAATGCCTTCCATTTATTCGTCTATTAGTACCAACGATAATTGACCGATAATTAAAAAAATATTGTACGTCAATAAATGTAATATTCAGGAGTAACAACGTTTTAATTTTTTAGACCCGTTTCATACATTTGATGTAGGTGTATTGTTACCTACTTATCAAAAAGCAATTTAATAATATCGATTACATAAAAATTATGTACAATTTGGACGATTATAGATAAACATAACGAATTGTTTGTTGTCGGCACCTTCTTGAATCTAGCAGTTCTGTTAAAAAACTGTTCATACAAAAATTGATAATCTTGTGTCTTACATACTTTAAGTGACAAATCTCAACGAGAATTTCAACCAGCAATTTTGTCGACCAATAAAATGCGGATTTCGTGTCACATTTCCATGGCAACCAAGGAATTTATCGTCAATTTTTTGACGTAAAAAGGTAATAATGTTTTGACATAAAACGTCACTTTTTCGTTGAGGGTCACTATGGTGTGAAATTTTCTTACCGAATACCACAGAGCTTGAATAGAATTTTTTTCATGCTCACGAATATTTTGCGAAAGTTCAAATACCTATTTGTGAGCTCGAAAAGTTTCCGGAAATAGCAAGCACTAGTAGTATTACAAGTGATAATTTTTTATTTCAGCATGTCGTTAGTAAAAAAACGTCAAAGTCCTCGTGTGAGATCTTGTCGAAGCTACCACATTCCCTTCGTCGGTACTCGCGTCCGACGTCCCGTGCATCCCCAATTTGCGATTGAAGTTTTACTCCACCTCCACCATCAGTAAGATCTTGGCGGGGACCACCACATTCCCTTTCTCGGTACCCACTTCCGGCGTCTCGCTCATCCGCAATTCGAGTTTGAAGTTTTTACTCCACTATCAGTTTTCAGATTGTTTTCAAATTGGTGCCGTTGGAAAGATCTTGTAAACGGACACAATAACTGCGTGGCGAAAATTTGTTTTTTTCCTGGGTACGAAATTAACCTCATTTTACAAGGCGCACGTCTGCGAGGGGTAGTTGACTTAGGGTGCCCAAAAGGTATCTTCCTCTGCGAATTTTGTTTCTGAAAGCTCGAATCGCGATCTCTCTTTCTCGCTAATAGAGCTATGAGAAGTACCCCAAAAATTGAAAACTATTTTGTGGAGAGTTTTTAGCAAAATTCATCTAAATGCGAATTGTGGGTGAACGGGACGTCGGAAGCGGGTACCGACAAAGGGAATGTGTTAGCTTGCGATAAGATCTTTTTGATGGTGGCTAATACAATACTGATCTGCCACACAAAAATGCGCTGATCTCTCTTCGATCCCACACGAGGACTTTGATAATTTTTTAATCTACCTATGCTTTTGATAATTCCACTGTAGGTTTGACGGCTAGCCAAATAAACTATTTTCGTAAAGCATCAGGCGAATGTCGTGTTGGAATTGGAAAATTTCTGAAAATCTATTAAAACATTTTTTGTAATGAAAAATGAGTCATTTATTTTGTTGTAAATTAGATCAGAATTCAGATATACATATAATTTGATAAATGGGGGAAGGTTGAAATCGCAGTAAATACCGGGCTACATTGCGGAAGCCATGCGAAATATCGAAAACTGTTCATCTAATTGAAGAAAAGTACTATTCTTACATCCGCGCACCTGTGAAAATCGTTATCATATAAATTTAGAAATCTATGGGGCCGTAGTTTGATCGGATGTGATAATTGTTTAAATAAATTTGTGCTATGAACCACAAAAATTGAAGACCAGTTTTTCTTGTTTCGGAAATTGTTCCCTTCATTACCTAAGTCCAAATCTCAAAAAGTCATTATTGTAAATCCCTATATAGGAAGTAAGTAGGAATGATATCTTAGAAAGTAATACATTAGTAATATTTTTATATAGGTATGTAGAGCTTTCAGCTTTGATTTCCTATTCTATATTCAAAGGTTTCCAGTATTAGTAAAACTGTAAAACATCAGGAGAAAGTTGAAATTCCATAAATCAGTTACTTTTGTTGAATAGCCGCTAATGAGGGTCTGGAATCTGGTTTTATTGTAGGAAGATGAGGTCATTTGCAGGTAGCTAATGCCTGGTGAAACTTGTCGAATTGCACGATTGGTTGCCTATATAATTATTTGCGTAGGCACAGCTTACATTTTGAATGGCCTGTCCCTAGCCGCCTTAAGGGTGCGTTTGCACGCCATGGTGTAAGAAAAGTGAACTAAGAAGTATTTTTGAAATATTCGTTGCTTTGTGCTGCCATCCCGAATCCGCGATCCCTATTTGTACTTCGTTAGGTCGCTGACACTCGCATACATTCGTCTTGAGATAAAATTAAAAATAATATTTTGCTTATCTTTGGTTACCACCTGTAACTGTAAATATCGTTCCGTAAAGGTCGATTCTCACTTTCGTGCAAGGCACGTACTCGGCACAGGCAAGGCACCGACTCGGCAAAATATCTATATTATTGAATCTTATGAATTTTTTGGGGTGTAATTCACACTATGCGAGCAACGACTCGGCAAGCTACGGCCTTTGCACGCAGCGTTCTTCCGAAACAATATTTGCCGGGCATGTACCGTGCACGTTCCGACAAGTGTGAATACAATCTGTGCAGGTGACCGACTTTCGTTCATTTTTCATAGTACAAGAAAGGTTGAAGGGTCAGCAAAGGAACACTTTTTCAGCGGAACAAGATGAGATGCTGATTGAATGTGTCCAAGAAAATGATTTCGGTCTTAAAAGATACTTCTTATGCATTTTATGTACACAAAAACGTATTTTTCTTTTTCTGCAATATGTACTTTCTTGTTCTTCATCATCTAATATTAGACCAATTTTAATTAACGTCAAAGTTTCGAACATTTTTACAGTTGAAACTCGCGTAGAAACTGCTTACCTGCGGCAAGCGTGTCGCAGTGTGAATTGAACTCAAAAAACTTTGCCCGTGCCGAGTATGTGCCGTGCAGGTTCTTTGCACGAAAGTGAGAATCGGCCTTAACTCTAAAAAGGGAATTTAGTGATCTTGCGAAATAAATTCTACCTAAAAATACTTATTTACCATAATATGCGGTTTTGTTCAGTAATTCAATTGAATGCCAATAACAGTGCCTATAGTAATTGTAATTCCTGAAATGCCATTCAAAGTTGGGTTATGTTATGGATTATGTTTACCTGATTTTCTATTAACTGCAAAATAACAAAAAAAACCAGTACCTACCTAGGTAAGTAAAGTTGAGGATCTTTATTTTAATATAGTTCTATTAATGGATTGTTTTAGGCTATCCTTCGACTGTACACATTTCCGAAGATTGACTTCCGACAGAGTACATTTTTTTCCGATTATCATTTTACCGAACGATGTCATTGCAGTGCGTTTATATAAGGCCATCGGTCACATCATGGTCAGAACACGGTGCGGTCAATTATTGTAACTGTGTATTTCTGTACTGTTCATGTTCTGACCGTAACCTGACCGATAATAATGTGAATCGGCCTTAAGGAATACTCAGCCTTTATGATCACAAAGGACAATCCACGCAATATTTTTAGGAAAACCAGATTTGCAAGTCAGCAATACTAACTCATAATTGAATGTTATTTGTTTGGGTGTGAAATCATATTTTGATATAATACCGATAACATTGAGATCCTTCACTCAACGATTGAATTATTCAATGCCGATAGTATGTAGTTCATTCAAATTATGGGAACCAAGATGGCATCCAATCGGTGGGGTTTCGTTATTATTAATAGTGCTTAAATTTAGTTGTAAGTGACGTGTACATTTATTATCGAATAAATATATAATCTTCAGTTACTGATTTCTTGCAGAGTTGTCTGATAGCACTTCCGAGGTGTAAATACCATCGTACAAGTCGACAGTGCTATTAGATAGCAACTTGGGCGAGAGTATTCTTGCCCATAAGTAGCGCTTCGTCTGGTAAACGTAAGCAGTATTAACACTGTATTATCAATTCAGAAACACCATCCCACATAACCTCTTTTTGTTGTAAGCTCTGAAATTTTTATATTAATTAATTATAACGTAGAGTGAAAAATCCCATGATCCTAAACTCAACGTTTATAAAGACTTCTTTTGCCAGTTTCCTAACCCAAATTTTGAATGTAGGTAACGTTAACCAGTGTAATTCCTACTTATGGTACGGTTTTTTGCTGGATACATTTTATCTGCATTAATAACCAACAAAGCCAATAAAGGAATAAGTTATACTGCTAAAAAATAGATACATTAATACATTCCAATAAGTACTCCACTTTAAATTTCCCGCTTTGTAAGAATAGTATACCGTAGCCATCTTAGTGGATACACGTTGAACTACACTGAGCACAGATTTCTTTTCTATAATTGTTTTACGAGTTATTCTTCAAGTGTACGGAGTTCATACCGTTTGTGCTTTAGAAACCACATATTATCCATTTTTACATCACGTTTTATTCCTTATATGTTCAAGAATCTGGAGAAACAATTTATATTTCAAAAACTTCTTTGACCTTTGAATTATACACAAAAGATTGTCATTGCAATCGAACGTCTACTTTATACACTTTCAGAGAATGTGCTATGAGTTTTAGTGCAATATAAACTGTTCACTCATAATTTACATACATTTAAGAACAAGAAACAACAAACATTTCCCAAAAAAAAGTATAGTTTTTAAAAACGGTATGAATTACGTTAGGCATGTTTCCCATAAGAAAGCTATTGTGAGATAGGCAACACACAATACTGATAGCGCGCCCTTAACATCAGGTAGGTAAACGTTATAAGAATGGACAGCAAAGGTAGCGTACGCACAAAAAGAACCTTATTTTAAAGTGCTCGAAAGCGATCTTAAAATATACCTGTACAATTAGTTTGTGCTTTTGTACCAGGTAACTGCGAGCCAGAATTGAACGTAAAGAGTGATGGAAAGTGAGAAAATTTGGACACAACTGATCCCATTTATAGGAATTTGGTGAAAGACTTGCATTAAAATCAATACTCCTTAGACACAAGGCCTTTTCTAAAACGCTGATCACTTCATTTTCGTTCCTGAAACATGCAACGGTTAGTTAAGCTGGTGATATCAGTACGTGCTCACTTGATTTTATTGGGATTTATCCAACAAGTCACAGCATTATGGTCGAATCCATTGGAGACCCTCTCGTCCCTTAAGTGTTTCGGTAGAAGATCATTTAAGCTAAGGGCGCTGTTTTTGATACGTAACTTTGCAATCGCCGCTGCCAGTTTTATACGTTGTTCCCACAGAGCGTTTTCAATGTGGATGATGCCAATAGAAGTAAGTAGTTCAGTCGCTTGCTCGATAACGGTAGAATCTCGTTTTTTAAAACTTCGATGGTACAAATCAAAAAATAACAACCATATCGCTGTGGTGCAATGTTGCATCTACAAATTAAAATGGAAATACGAGGAAACAAGAATAGAAACTCACATTATTGTATAATTGATAGAAGGAAACATCGTTTAAGGCCTGATTGAGAATTCCTTTATCTGAAACACAAATGAAAAGTTGTAAGGACTAATAAAGCTGTCAAGATTTCCCTCTAAAATGTTACAAACTGACGTCGTTGAAATGAACGTAATAAAAAGACGAATTGATTTTGTTATCTTCGGTGATTGGTTCCGACAACAGCAATAAACTAGACGAACGTACCTAATAAAATTATGAACTTATATTTTCTATGCACGCATAAACAGAAAAAAATGAATCCAACAAATTGATTTATTTTACCATATTGTACAACGAAGCGAAAATGATTTGATCAAAAGCCAAAAGAAAGAGGTATACGTAACATTGTGATTATTATTATTAGCTCTAACTCGAGGTAGGTGGCTATTGCAATCACAATTTTTTGGACATGATAAAATTTCATCAAATGTCGCCGTTTTGGATCATTCTAAGCAACTTTAAAGAATAAAATTTTTTCGGTCTATATGGATGTAGTTATTGACAAAAGCAATGATCGCCGAAAAGGTAAACCTTGCAGCACACACCACTAACATTTGAATATAACTCGACAATAGACAATTTAAAATCAAAGTTAAGCGTTTCCTTACCAGTAAAGCGTTAAATATTCAGTCAATGAATTTTTAAGCACACAAATATCACCGACAGACATATTATAAACTTTGTACGCTTACATGTATGTACCTACCTAAAATATTATTTATATATATGTTAAATGTAAAATCATTGTATCGTATAATGTATATTTATGTTGTATGTTACTTTGTATGTTAGTTTTATACGTTATGCTTGACGTGCCACAAACACATCTACCAGATATGTAACGTGGTAAATAATAATAAATGAAAAATGAAAATATATTGTGCAACTTGGAAACGCCAAGTGGCATGTGATTCGGTAACACTCGATGTGACTAATCGAATGACATTCCAATTTCCGGACCCTCAAGTAGACTTTCGCGCGTCCTAAGAGATGCCAAAAAGGCACTTTGAATATTGATTCCATTAGACTTCAATTTGGGAATTGCGTATTATATGACTACAGCTATGCCCACTTTGAATTTTATTCAATTCGGTTCATAAATGACCGAGATGGCCATAGGGCACTGTGAATTTTGAATCTTGAACCCAAATTTCGGAATTGCGTCTTATATGGATAAAACTAAGCCCAATTTGATTTCATTCAATTCGGTTCACAACTAACGAAGATGTCAAAAGGGACTTGTGATAATTAGCGATTTATTTTAATACAGAAGTTAACCGCACAAAATTGCTTATTTGCCCATATATTTAAAATTTTGCACAACCCTTGTGCAGGTAAAGCGCATTTTTTTAAACACCCCTACGAAATTTCTTCCATAAATAAGAAAGTTGGCACTGCACATCCTACACAAAATCAAATTTAGAAAATGGCGTTGCATTTGCTTTTATTCCAAGTGGCTATGTATCAAATTTAATTTAAATCCCTCCATAAATCAGAAAGTTGGCACTGCGCATGCGCAAAACGAAATTTTGAAACTGGGATTAAATTTGGTTTTATTCCAAGTGGCTATGTATCAAATTTTATTTAAATACCCAATGGTTATATTTCTTTCAAACGTCCCAATCGCCCTTTGTAGGTACTTTCCTGTGACAATTCACTCTTAAGATATAAGGAATTATAACCGATCACGACAAGGGATCGAGGAGGAAGACTATGGTTAGTATAAATTAATTCCTTTCGTTGAGACCTTTCATTAGAGTACCATGTTCCACTCCCCCCCTCTGCCCGTACTTTGATAAGAGGACAAAAAGAAGGGCAGTAGTTTGTAGAAAACTGTTCCTTTCGTTGAGACCTTTAATTAGAATACAATGAGAGATAAAATTAATTTTTAACCCCCTCCTCAAACGCCGTCGCTCACTGATCTCGAAAAAGAATCGCACGGGAAAGTTATAGTTGTACAAACCAATTTATTTCGATGAGACCTTTCATTAGAATACCATCAAGGGTAGAATGTAGAACATGTGTTTACCCCTCACCCCATTTTCTAAAGTTTAACTTGGCACCACTAAAGGCATGCGTATGCAAAATCTGAGACCAATTGGTTGTATGTAAAAGTTATGCACGTTTTACTTTCAAAAACAGCATCTCAGGAAATAATTCGTGGGGGGGCCCCCCTTTTAGACAGCGAAATTTAATGGCCGTCTGGCACACCTTCAAGGTATAAGCTACCTACTGCAAAAAATTCCAGGACTCTAGGACCATTCCCCTAGAAGTAGTTCAAAACGGTAGAAGTGGGTCCGGACGGACGGAAGGACGGACAAAACGCAAACAATAGCACATTTTTTTTAATTCTTAAAAAATGCGCTTTTGTCCGTCCGTTCGTCCGTCTGCCCGTCCGTCCGTCCGTCCGCTCGTTCGTTGAGACGCTACTAGTTCTTTATCTTAAGAGCTATTGTTCTACTTTTTTCGCTATTTGGTTCGTTATGGTGTCGAGGCTTGCACCAAGGAAGGAATTTTTTCTGCGTTTATTGCTAAAAAAGTTATTGTAAAAAAACCAAAAAACCGTTTTTCACATGTTCCATAATTGTACACTTTTGCCGTTTATTAACGATCCTAGAGATCATTTATGATTTTGTATTGCTGTCTGTCGTCTGTCTGTTGATCTGTCCGTCTGTTCCTTTGTCTGCCTGTTCCTCTATCTGTCCGTGTGAACGATAACTTTGTTTAGAAATGTCCGATCGCTTTTAGATCTCCGTTAGTTATGAACTGAATTGCATGAAATTCAATATGGGCATAGCTTTAGCCATATAATACGCAATCCCAAAAGTTGAGTCGAATCGATTCAAAATTTACAGTGCCCTTTTCGCATGTCGACCATTTATAAACCGAATTGCGAACTTTTTTATTTGTAAAAGTATTTAAATGAAATTTGATACATAGGCACTTGGAATAAAGAAAAATCAAACGTTAGTTTCAAAATTTAGATTTGCGCATGCGCAGTTCCAACTTTCTTATTTAGAAAAGCATTGAAATTAAATTCTTCTCATAAACTGAAATTGAAGTAGCACGTCAAAAATGGATTGCACATTTGCAACGCTATCTTTCATATTTGTGGCCGGATATTTACGATTTTAACAGAAGTTGCATCTTACAAATGGGAAATGAATGGAAGTGGAAATGCGCTTTTTGTAAATCGTTTACGATTGCTTTTTAAGTTGTTTAGATAGTGTTTTGTTCGCCCCTTTTTTGCGCCCCTGAAATTTCAGCGCTCTAAGCCCGGGCTTTGCCGGTTTATAGGTAGGTTAATACGCCACTGCCCTAAGAAATCTAGTTTAATGTAATTCAACTATTCAGGATTTGCCGTTCTCAAATTAGATTTGAAGATTATAATTTTGTAAAAAAGGATGAAAATCATGTTCATTATTGAAATCAGAGGGAGAGTAAATTAGTTTTAAAAAAACGGAAAAAGTTGACACTTAATCCGAGCGTGCCAAACCATTTCCCAGGATTCCTTCAAAGGGAGAAGATTCTAAGCCCATCCCGCACCGTCAGATGCTGTAGGTAGCATCTGGGTTTTTATTTATCTACAGAAATTTAAACTAAAGGTTTGCCATAATAATTAAAGGTAGTGCACATTAGGTACATACAAGAATGTTGTGGATATGGCATTTACAAGTAACTAGGAGGGTACAATAGAAGAAGTCATCGCGTACTTCGGAAATCGAAAAGTCAATACTTACAACGGAAGGTGTCATAAATTAGAGTGTAGACCCTCCTCATCTCCTGCTCATCATCAAAGGTCACAGTCCTTGGGGGAACTTCTAGCAAGCATGCGGATTTAATTAAATCATGTATACTCCATGTGATCGTTGTTGGTTCACCAAAAGATTGCCTCCTATCGCTCTGATTACTGTCAATAGACTTGGATATGGATTTCTCTTTCTCTACGATGTTCCATTCGTGTAGTTTAGTCGGTTCATTCTCCTCGGCCCATTGGTCCATCATTCTGAAGTGCGAGAAAAATAATTTTTAAAAATCCATTGCTTAAAGCGAGTACAGAAATTAATAAGTTATGAATTACAAAAATGTAGAATTTGACATTATCGTGTATGACTGTTAACATTGACAGTTGCGATTATATGGTTTTGACACAAGAGTGAGTGATCATGCCAAATGGGGTCGGGTAGGTACAATTCGTCGTTAACTATTTGCTTCAAAATAGTTATGATTTGAAGAGGTACAATTCACCGGAAACGATTCGCAGCATTTCGGGGTAAATTTTATGCAGAAGTTTTTGAATATCTAAGGTGGGTCACACATTAGGCGGACTACACATTAAGCGGGCCACACATTAAAGAAACATAAAACGCTAAACAGAAAAGGCGAAAGGTTTTCCCTATAATAACAACCCATTGTCCTCAATTACGAGTTGAAAAAACATCGCCTAACGTTACTAATAACATGCAAAAAAAAATGGAACCGCAAGGGGAATTCGTTTCGTGTGCCGTCATAGAGAAGCAAAGACCCTTGAAACTGATGCAGAATAAATCTAAACATGAAACAAAATATGGAACAGAATCTATTTCATGCAACTAGTTCCAACACGGTTTTACTTCTCTATGACGTCAACCAACGAAACGCAGGGTGTGGTCAAGGTTGTTTTATTAGAAAGGTTGTCTGGTAACTCTAAACCAATAGAATGCTTGCATTTTGAAGGCGGGAAAACGTCATCCAGAATTCACATTTAAAATTGCTCATATAGGTTACAATGCTAATAAAAGGGGTAAAAAATTTAGTTTTTGCAGTATATTTTTGGATTTATATGAGTATATATGTTTATAAGAGTGGATCTTATGTTGGAAATCTTGGAAGTTTATCGACTTCCACCTTTGAAAGCAATCATAAGTATTGAAAAAATGAGTGTGGTGCGTAAGCTATTTTACATTGCACGAGGACTTATGAAAATGTAATCAAATTAATTTTAGAGGTGGAAATGGATAAAATTCCGCGATCTACAAAATAGGAACCACCCCTATGTATTAATACCTAGGCTTTGGGAATTAAAACTCTAAACATTCTTTAGCGGATGGCGCCAAATAAAATGCTGTTGCGTTTTATGGAATATGTATATTTATAGTTGCACACGGCGAGCTCTGTCGTTGGGGTGAGCCCAGATGCAGGTCTTCTGACTGATGGAGTGTGGCGCGAGGTCGAGCTGGCAAGGCGACCTGGTTCTGCAAATGGAGAGCTTTTTGTTTCTTGAAGTGCAGCCGAAGCAGGAATTACGTTGCACTTGCAGAGTTCGTGGCTCTGCTTTTAAACGTTTGCGGCCAGGAACGCTACGCTTAAAAATTAATGTTATCTCTCATTGTATTCTAATTAAAGGTCTCAACGAAAGGAACCTTTTCTACCAACTACTGCCCTTCTTTCTGTCCTCTTATCAAAGAATGGAGTCGAGGGGGAGGGGGGGGGGATTAGTTTTGTCCTTCATGGCACTCTAATGAAAGGTCTTAACGAAAGGAAGTAATTTCTACCAACCATAGCCCTCCTCCTCGACCTCTTATTGTGATCGGGTATATTCCCTTACCTATACCTCAAGAACGGATTGTCGGAAGAGGGCGCTCACGAAGGGCAATTGAGACGTCTGCAAGAAATATATCCATTGGTGATGTCAAAAAAAAAAAAAATGCGCTTTATCTGCACAAGAGTTGTGCACAATTTATACTTCTTTTCACTGTTGACGTTGTCGGACACGTTGCTAAGAGCAACGTTTATTACCTAGCTATTAATTAACCTTTCAAAATCTAGCACTTATCATACTTCGAAGTTCATCCGAAAATGAAGGTTTTTTTGAGTAGTAGAAAAAAGTACTTTATGGGTAATTTCATTTATCTATATATTGCTGTGTATACCGATCCGTAGGCCAAAAAGACCGTACACAACACCTAACAAAACCTAGCTAGCTCAAACCCTTATATTTCTCGGAACAAAACTTCTCCCCAGCACAGAGGAGGAATTCGACTCTTTTCTCAGATAGTGGGTTAGACCAAATACCTACCTTAAATTCCAAATCGATCTTAAGAATTTTGATTAAATAAAATGGACCGTGGGAAAGTATCCAAAGAAAACAGTAAATTAAAGGAAATGAAATCGTTCGAAAGACAAAAACAGAAATTAATGTGAGAATTACAAATTTCAGTTTTAATGGTTACACAATAAAACAAAACAACAAGGAAAACGAACAATTATTACAAAGAAAAGAAAACTACAATTAAAACTTAATCTTACTTACATTCGGTACATGTCCAAACTGCTAATCCCAATACGTTACACACAAAAAAAAAACAAAATTCAAAATTTACACAAAACAACACTCAAGTCGGCGCCGACACACCTTAGTGACGCACTTTTCTGAAGGACTAAACTTCCAAAAACTGCCGCAAACTCGGCTTGTTACTTGAAATAGCCCTTGTCCATTCTAGTTAAGAATCCCAAAATTTCGTCCTACCAGACAAAAATTAATGAAAATTTAATTTAAAACGCATTTCACAAATAATTTCAATAACAATATTTAAAGTAAATAAAAAATTTCTTCTAGCCTGAAAGAATTGTTGAAAGTTCCCATACCTAATGCAACTTGCATTCCCTCTTTGAATTGCAATACTAATTTTCTGTTTTAAGAATAACGTTGAACGATTGTCGTAGGTTTTATGTTTAATTAACTCTCCTATAGCTTCAATAAATGATATTGCTTCATTACACCATGGTCCAAGGGTTTCGACAGCAAAGGGAACGAATAAGTAATTATCTGTGACAAGGTCCTTATATTTGTTTAGTTTTCTTTTAGCAGCTTGTTTTGCAATTGTACCCGCTTCTTTGGAAGAGGAGTGAATATATGATGGTGCAAGAGTGTCTGGTACTGTAGCATCCCAGACAAAATAACACAGCAATATATAAAAATGAATCGCCGAAATTTATGTACGCGCATCACTTCAGAACAACTGCACCAAATTAGATAATTCTTTTTTGTTGTGTTTCTCATTATCAGGACAAGGTTTGTATAAAAGAAAATTTTCAAAAAATTGTACGGAAAGACGTACCTAAAAACAAGACTTTTCTCTTTCGCCGTTTAAATCGCAATATAACTAATAGATGGCGTCAACCGTTTATACGTTCTAAAGTCACTAGATATAGAAAGTACCGCAATCATCCGCCATTTTTGGGCAAATTTGCTGCCAACTTAAAAAAATTGACAAATAAAATCTGAATAGCTGTAATTTTTATAACCTAACTTCATAGTACTGTCATGTTTTATAAAAATATATACAGATATCTCCAAACAGGTGGAACAATCCCTAACATTAAAGTTACTAGAATCTGGTAACTTCCGCCATTTTTGGGCAAAAATCATGCGTTCTCTCTCTAACACACGAGCCCAATGGATTGCGGTACTTTCTATCTTTAGTGAATTTAATACGTTCACTGTCCACTGCTGCATTATTTACACGAACTATTTTTTTTCTTTCGTCGTACAAATCGCAATCTTCCATGTCTATTGTCTATCTATCTATACATATATTATTACGCGCATCAACGACTGCATCAAATTAGATAGTCCTTTTTTTGTTGTGCTTGCGTTATCGAAACATGTAGGTAATGCTCTCTTTTCTTAAAAATGAAAGCAAACAAATGCACGCAAAGGATGCAAATGTTACTATATCATTTATGAAAATAATAGTCTTCGACATATTCAATATAAATTCGTACCTACCTACCCTACATCTGCGGCTACTTTAAAAACATTTCCGCAAATTCTATTTATAAAAAGGGCAAGGACGATCCAACATACAATTAAGCCATAAAGGGATTACATTTTCCAAATTTTTAAGAATTAAGTAATTTAAGATTTACTATATAAACTACAGTATGGTGCGGGCTTTCTCTCGCTTGGGGTAAAAGTCGGGGTCGGATAAACGCAGGGACGTCCCGGGGGGGGGGGGCCAGGATTTTTCATTATTTGGCCAACTCTTCGGAAATAATTCACCAATTAATTGGAAAAAATCTATAAACTGTGTCCAAGATAAGGATGTCTATCATGGAGATCGAAACCATAGAAGATACGACGATGGTCAAATTAGAGAAAAGATGCGCAATTAAACCATTATTATCGTGCTTTAGAGAAAACAAAAAAATTCCGATTACTTCCGAAGATATGACAGAAAAACCAAAACTTGCCGATTTTGTGTTTATTTTTTGCTAATTGCTGGTGTTATTTGAACAGATACAACGAGAAAGACAAAAAACACTTTTTCATTGCCACTTTTTGAACTCTACGAGACAGTACCCGCGCACAACTTGCGAGCATACCTATCGGATAAATTCCTGGAAAATGTTAGATTCGTATGCTTGCACGATTAAGACGTTGTGTCCGGGTGCGCCAACCTGTTGAAACCAACAATTTCCAACGTTTGTTTTTATTTGTGTGACGGACATAGTTGGATTCGTAATAAAACGTAATAAAAAGTGGTACTAAATACAGTGTATACTTTTTCCACGGGTCATATAAAAAATATAGTTTGTGATAATTTCTCCGAAACAAAACGTTGTATTAAGAATCTTCCAACAGTGCTCAAAAAGGGGCAATGAGAAAGTATTTTTTGGGGACATGAAAACGGCAGTTCTAGGTTTTAATGTAAACCCGAGTGTCTTCAAATTATCGTCCAAAAAGTTGATAATCGAGTCCAATACTTCACAGAATTCCTTTCGCTTTGAGGTTTCGACTCGAACCAGCAGGATTATATTGTGCCAGTAGATAGGTCAAATTACCGCAACTTACAAAGCCACCTGAACCACTGAATTGATCACTTCTTTCGGAGCAAAGCCCTCTATCGAAGCATGTCTTGCAGAATATTCAACATTATAACTGATGTGTATTCCAAATGACATCATTTTTTGGTGCAAATATAATTCGGGAAAGGGATTTCAATCTAAATTTTGCGGTATTAT